GAAGTGTACAGGACAAGCTGTGAAACACATGTGGAGAAATTCCTGTTATACTTTAATCTGATCAAAGACATTGTGTTTTAACTAGTGTCAGCAGAAAATAACATCTCTCAAATGATAAGCAATCCCTTAGTTATCATAGTTACAATAAATTCAAGTACTCTAGATTCAGAATAATGGGATGGAATGTCTTTAATTTCTCTAATCTGAACTTATAAAGAAAAATCAGCAAATAAGCATTATCTGGGAGGTAAGAACCCATTAAAACTGATTAATCTCAGCCCAGATATGTTTAATTAAGTAATTAGTTGTCATTTAAACGTACTAGGTTAATTTCGATCTTTTAAAACTGTACTAAAAGGTTCTCATAAAGTTAAGAAATATTCAATTTTAATGAGTAAATACCGAATTAAATGATTGACACTTACACATTAGTAACTAATTTAACCAGTAACTTTTAGTGAAAAATCTTAACTACTCAGATCAATTAATTTCATAGGGGTACCCATTTATTGTAGTAATGGACTCGATAATTTAAAAAGTTTCACAAATTAATTCATTTCGATAGTGTAATAAGAAGATGAAGATTATCAGAACTATATGATGATATATTAGCGCAATACAATTCGAACAATCTGATTACACATAGTACATTTGTTAAGAACATTTATATATATATAAAAATAAAGGGTCAACTAGACTAGAAATGGGGGGGGGTAAGAGGAGACAAGGATAATAAAGAAAACAATTTGAGACCTAATAATAAGCTAATATTACCAGGGTACGTTTAAGTTGAGAACAAACTGTTTTTGAATACACAAAGGGGGGGTGAATTTTCGTATGGTTAAGGCTTCAATAAACCTTAGTGTACGCTCTTTTATACAACACCAGAAAAGCTGAGTTAACATCAATCTTATGGCCTGTTTCGATTATATGTTTGGCATTAGAGGATGATAGATTTTTATCATCTACTCATATAGGGTCATTTGATTGTATTTGTTTCTGCAACCACTTTGTGCATTCAAAAACAGTTTGTTCTCAACTTAAACGTACCCTGATAATATTAGCTTATTATCCAAAGTGATTAGGTTTCAAATTGTTTTTTTTATTATCCTTGTCTCCTCTTACCCCCCCCCCCATTTCTAGTCTAGTTGACCTATTATTTTTATATATAAATGTTCTTAACAAGTATATTACGTGTGATCAGATTGTTCGAATTGTATTGCGCTAATATCTCATCACATAGTTCCGATAATCTTCGTCTTCTTATATTACACTATGGAAATTTATCAAAGGGACTAATTGCTTTAAATTAATTAATTTTAAAAATGTCGACTAGTGAAATGTCAGTTTAATGGCTAATAAATATAATCCTTAATAATAATAATAATAATTTTCACAGTTGAAATCATGAAGCTAGACCAACATGGAAAACCTGGAAGCACTGGATGGCCGTTTCGTCCCATCACGGGACTCCTCAGCAGTGCGCATCCACGATCCCGCCTTGCGAGATTCGAACCCAGAACCTGCCAGTCTCACACCATAGCACTTAACCAATCCTAAGTTTATATATTTATTTGACATCAGAATTTGTTCAAAGAAGATGACATATCTGTTTCCTACTTAATGATAATTCTTTAACTAGTATTGATTTGTAACACTAAATATCACTGAATATAAATTATAAACAAAAACACCATACTTAATCCGTTAATCCTAAAACAAATTTTAATCGCATCAAATTGCCATGGAAATGAGTTACAAAAGTACAAAATTATTGTTAACTATTGTTATGAAGATGCTTTCCTTTTTTTGGATAACCTTTTAACTTATTGTTTATTGTTCATTTCATACTATTATATTCCTTCAATGAGCTTTAATATGAGTATACATTATTCAAAGATTATATGAGACTCTATAGAAATGTCTATATATACATGTATATTAATATTAAATAGTAGTATCTAATAAGAGCTAATCCCGAGATAGTGTTGTTATTGTGAATCTGATACTGGAAATGGCTTCAAAATCAATGTTATATACAATGTCTAATAATAACTGAAACTTAGTGAAAGGACAATGAAATTGTGAAAATCCCGACGGTTCAAGTTATAAGTAAATGTAATGAATCCAGCAACCTACACATTGAACTAATAAAGGAATAAGTCATTCTATGAAAATTATAGTTTACTTTCCTTTACAGAAGAAACATTTAAAAACAATGAATTAAACATATAGACTAAGAATATTTTACTGTTATTAAGTATCTTTACAACAAAGTTGATATGTATCAGAAGGGAATTTTCGTGAAGATTTTAGTAATTTTATATAGTTGAGATCATTTGAATGAGTCAATTGAAGCTAAACCACCATGGAAAACGTGGAAGCACTATATGGTCATTTCGTCCTATTGTGGGACTCCTCAGTGGCAGTGCGCACCAATGATCCCGTCTCGCAATATTCCAACCCAGGACCTATCAGTCTCGCGTTCGAGCACTTAACCGATAGACCACTGAACCGGCCGGCACCCGATAGTGTTAATATCTAACTTCAACCAATTCACGAAATTGAGCAACCATTCACCAATGTCTTCAGTGAGTTGATATCTTCCAACAGACCTGTTTGAACTCCACTGGTCACTGCTTCTCACCAGAACTCCAAGAATTACCTGATGGAACCAGTCACTAGTGAGCACATGATCTTTATCAGAATAGGGTTTTGTGGAGGTTTCAGTAATTTTATATAGTGGTGGATGCGCACTGCCGAGGAGTCCCACAATAGGACGAAACGGCTATCAAGTGCTTCCAGGTTTTCCATAGTAGTTTAGCTTCAATTAACTCATGATCTCAACGATATGAAATTACTAAAATCTTCACAAAACCCCGTTCTGAGATGAGCATATGACGGCTGTCCAGTGCTTCCAGGTTTTCCATGGTGGTCTAGCTTCAATCGACTCATGACCTCAACTATATAAATTTCATATGTTTTATGAAGTTGGTAAACGAAATCCATTAAGATTGATGTTGATGAAAGAGATCTTAGTTTTAACATATTCACTTAAGTGGTGGAAACAACTTTATATATATATATATATATATATATATATATATATATATATGACTGTTCCAAAGTGTTCTCCAAAGCAGGTACAATATCATAAATCAATTAAGATAATCCAAAAAATAAATAAAGTAATTTTATGAATCTACTAGTTATCAGCACTGACTGTCTGATACTGTTTTTGATTTCGACTAATCAGTGAATACTGTAAAGTGACCAAATGTCGCTTTATCCGTCTATTTCTTTTACTATGTTGTTTTAATCACATTTATTGTAATTCCGAAGTTCATCTTCTCATATAATTCAATCTATTTTCATAATTAATTTTATTTATTTAAATTCCAATGATATTTTTCATAAATATTCCATGTCATAATAACTACATTTTTAGTCCTATAACACTCAATAGCTGGGTGAATAATGCGATGGCGGTTGAAGTGAAAGGTACTAGGTTCGAGTCTCAGAGTGAACATCAACTCTGAGATGCAAGTACCTCCAGCTGACGAATCCCGAATAGAACGAAACGCGCGTCCTGGATTCCACTGGTAGCTACTATCCATCTTTGCTTACAATGCTTGTGAATTAAGGCAATACTGAGACAATACGCACAGTATGTACATATGGCCAATAAGAGACTGACCAGTTGCAGTCCTAAACATCAATAGGAAAATTCAAACAAACAATACTAAGTAAATTTAAATAACATTTGACTGTTAATTTTTTTTGTCCCCCTATTGTTATGTTCTTTAATTCCACATTCAATAAACATATTGTCATATGTTATTGCGTAGAAACAGTGTGTATTTTTGATTATAGAATCACGTTAACCAATTAACCGTAAAGAGAATTCTTTGCTGAATCTACTTTTTTTTCATTTCAAATAAATTCTAGTCATTATTCCACTATCTGTTATAAAAACTCATTCTATGTCTCTCTTCACTTCCCAGTGAGTCTTCGTATATTTTTCTAATTTTACTGTTTTTTCTTTATATAATTTGTTTAAAGATAAACCATCTCGAACTAAGGCATTAATAGTTAAATTATCTACTTATCCTACGCTTATCCTGTGTGATATTGTACTAAACGTGATGTCAAAATTGATCTCAAATATTCATGAAAAATTTGACTCAAAGAGAAATAAAACTACAGCAACATCTACAACTCAAACTCTAAATTAAGAAGCACTAATTTTTAATAATGATCCCGATACAATCATTTCTTGATATAAACGATGAAAATACTTTGATGATCATTGATTTAATAAAGGATACCTACATTTATTCATATTGGGAATAAACTAATTTATATAAAATGGGAAATGATATTAAGTCACTTTAGAATACTAAATGAACAATTATAAGATTGAACTGCTAATACTTTAAGATAAAGAAAAATGTTGCTTATGTTACTGTATTGAAAGTACTTAAGCAAATTAATCACTCCCAATGCGACACCCTATAGTTTTCGGTTTATATCACAAAATCAAGAAGTAATGAGTATTTATTCTGATTACATATGGAACTTTCCAACAATCTGCATCTCTAAATCCATTTGGAAGAAAATACTGGCTATTGAATCAACAATCTGTAGTCTAGTCACTCTTAGCGATGTTGAAATGTCCTGGGTCCAAGCACAGAGACTGTTAGAGATGCGTTCTGCTAACTCGTTTCACAGCAGGCCAAAAACTCGTAGTCAAGGTACGTTCGTAATATAAACCATGAGTTATAAAATTTCTGTAAACGTTTTAGTGATTTGTATCACTTTTAAAACAAACGTTAGGCAAGCAAATCTTAGAAAGACGTCTCATTACACTTTGTCTAAACGTACTGTTCCTATTAAATACATTTCGAGTACAATCAATGAGACTTATTCAAAATTCATACTGTTTTAAATAATGTAAGTAATCACTTTTTACTACAACAAACAAGACGTAAAAATCTAACCTTGGGATGACTTTTGATGCTTTCCTGAAACGTTTCATGAATGCTTCTTCGCGATCGTCTTAAGGAACCAAATGAAGGCCATTTATTTTCATTGCATTTGGAGTAACTAACTTCGTAAACATTTTGATAAGGTAGCTAAAAATATATCCGAAATTTAATAATGAATTGTTTATCCAGAAGTTATTATTAATGTAAAATTTTGAGAATTCTTCCAATTTTTTTGTGTTAAAAGTCAGTCGTAATCGTAGTACAATCTGGAATAACTGTATATCAGCCAAGGACATCACATCAACTCAGCACAACAAAGTAAAAGTAAAAAAATAATAACAAGAGCGCTCAGATAATAGCGGTACCTATGATAGGTAAAAAAAATAAACGTGGGGATAACTTTTAAGAATATATGGAGTATCGCTAGCAGTGAAATCCTGGATATCTGTTTCGCCACATCTGCGACCGGTCAGATAGATTCGTTTGCATTCCACATTTAATGTATATGCTGAGACGTGAACTTACTAACTTTCCTTTAAGCATCTGGGTATTATCTACCAAGTTACTAGCTTCACATAGTCATTTAATCGTTATCAAGTGTCTGTTCAATATTACAGCCTAAATTTTGAAAAGTTGGATAGTACAAATCCTCATCCACAATAAATGAGGGATATAATTTCAAAAGATTGGGTGAAACATGGAGATAAATCCAAAACTGATGGTGAAAATAAAGATCTGTGTACGAGCAAACACTAATCCATCTGTAACTGTGATAGAGTTTTGTTAATGTTAATTGAGCCTTCCAAACAATATTAATATACAACATAAATTCCACATAAAAATACTTTTAATCCTCAGAGTATATTGAATTAAAATCACGGGCCGAAGCTAGCCAGACTGCCATTTATAAACAGAAATGAAGACCTCCGGCCATTAAAAACTTCTAGGAAACAACATTCTACAAATTACTAGATGACAGTAAAATTAGAAACCTAGGCTGTTTATTTGTTTTATAGATTCAGTGACAATTAACCGCAAAAATTATGCTCAACTTCAAATTTATTTCTGTCATCTACCTTTATCTTGTCCGAAAGAGCAGTGTTATTGACTAAGAAATATATGCAGTGAGGTGTTTAACCTAACTAAATGTATGATAAGCTTCTATCAGTCGATAGCTGACATGTGTAGCCAAATGCATCAATCAAGTCATAGTTTGTGTATATAAAAATCTTTCAGTTGAAGTTCACTTAACGTATTTTTTCGCTAGAAGTTGATTACCTTTGAAAATCTGACTCAGCAACATAAAGTTATACATTTTCAATCTGTGGATGTACTGCGGATAAACAAGTAGTTTCAAACACACTGATCAGCAATTATATTCAAACAAACTCAAAATTTCTTTGACATCAACTTTACATTCATTACATAAAAATAATTCTATATTTGAATTACTTACACTTCCAGTGACTGTACCTCCAAAACCACCGATCAAATTATTTACCTCAACCTCACTTAAATTTGTTTCGATTGCAAAATACCGATGACACGTTGTGAGTACGGTTTTAATGAGACATAGATGAAAAAGAATAATAAACATCAACATTTTATCCGAAAACACATAGCATATTTGAGTTTGCAGACAAGGTCACTCACCTATACTCGAAAGGTTAAAACAAGCATCATGAGGGAAAACCACTCCAATCGTAAATAGCTGACTCTTAGTTTTCAAAGTGTAAATCTGAGTTTTTAAAGAGAGCTTCTAGCTAATATGATTGATTATTTCTTTTGAAACCTGAAAATCTGAAGTATAAAAAACCAGCAACCACCAATATTCTAGGTTCATTTAGTCTGATGCTACGTGTTACATGTTTGTATTTCGTCAAAAAAACCCATAATAAAAATATTTCCGTGTATATGTTAATACTATTATTTCTTATCCTGTACTGTAGCAAGTTAAATACGGTCAGATGAAATGAGTAAGTTTTACTCCACAGTTTAAATGCACTTTCTGCTATTCTTATTCGGAATTCTTCTATTGGATCGATACCTTCATTGAACTGAGGCTCATGGTAGTTTCAGTTTATTCTAGACATAGTTCTTGTCAAATACGGAAAGGCTCCTGATTAATTCTGGAGTGAAGAAATATAGCTCTCGGGAACGGAACCCAATGACGGAGTATTTTCTGCTGATTTAAGGGTGTCATTGAGCAGCAACATTCAATACATAATATATGGTGAAACCCTTGTGTTTTTCAAAGTCTAAAAGTGTGGTACTGGAATCCTCAAGCTAGCGCAGGGTCAATTTACGCAGCACAGCCTTATACCTCACTCGACATACAAATTATGTATGAATTAATTTTATAAATACAAGTATTCTGCCCTCTGTTTTTATTGGTTCATTTTTTCGATCCAGTAGTATCAATTCTTATGTCTAGTATTGACGCGTATCATAGTTGGGACGAGAGTAGTGAATATAAATAGAAGTCCATATCACTATATATATGAATGTACAGCTTAAGTAAATGATTTCGTCGAAAAGAAAATTTTCTTCGCTAAATTCTCTTTTTCTTATTCAATGACATTAGAAGTACAAGTACTGTTCACTATTGTAATCAATTTGCAGATAGTCTTAGGCTTTGAACTGTTGGGAAAACTATCGTCATATCTATACGATTAGCACTTGGGATTGCTGCCAAAAAATTTGTGTCCTCTCTAGCTTTTCATAAATTTTCGGTCGTCAGTTGGTAGAAAGTTTTGGAAAATTCTTTTCTATTCTCAATCATTTTTCGTTGCACACCAACCACAGTGGATCGAATCTCCATTCAACACATCCTTTCGCAAACCTTCGAGAGCCTTTCTAGATTCAAAAGGTAAATGGTGAAAAGTTTAATCGTCCGAGTGAGTTTAACCTACACCACCCATGTAAATCACAGTTAAATATGACTGCCGTTTTACCGTCTTTAAAATTATGTGAAAGAATGAAATTTATATTTGGCCTAGCGAACCTGAATGTTGGGTGAATACGTCTGCTGCTTAAACAATCGGGGTTTTATCGTGTTTGGAAAGCTTATTAGAATCTTTCATGGTGGTATACAAAACCCTAGGAACGGCTGTAAACAGAGATAGTTTTACACAGACATTTCTTAGTGAGCCTTCTACCTTCAGCGTTAAGGTACATCAATATTCCGGTGTGTCGGCTTAATTGAATCCACACATAAGTGGTGGTTAGTTAACGCAATTGCGAAATAAGCTCAGAATCCTTCAGCCATCCAACATATTTATTTCATTCACTGATCTCTTTGCATAATCATTTACTTAGTACGCGGCAGTGTTTATTGTAGTCCCAGTGTACGAATGATAGATATGAGATGGTCAGTAGAGCCAGCTGTCCAGTTTTTAGAAGCAGAATGGTTAGTCCTAACAAATTGTTGTATTGTCATTCAAGATTTTCTGTGTAAAATAAGAGTTACGGGCGAAAAATCTTTACAGCAGTACACAATGAGTAAGTCCTTGTTCCTTGAAATAAACGAATAGCAACAACCAAGCTTGTACGGAAGAGTCATATGGAAACGAAATCATGCCTTTCAAACCTTTTACTTAGATCATTGGCTTTTTCTCTTCAACTGAATGAAAAGGCAGTGATACAATTCTTGACAAGACAGCTAATCTGATGGCGCACAGAAATACGCAAGATGAAATTAAAAAGTGTGCCAACGAGGGTACTGAATCAAAACCACACGTTAGTAATGGAGTGCCCTAAACATGGTCGTCTAAGGATTTTTCAGGATGATAAATGAACTTTAAAGCTTCACGATCAGTAACAATGGTAAACGTCTTTCCAAATAAACATTTATGATGTCTTTTAACAGCCAAAAACACAGCTAATGCTTCTCTCTGAGATTGTAAATAATCTTGTTCAGTGACAGTAAGTTTGGTCCACCTTTCTGTTCCAAAAACTGCATCAACACCCGCGGGTGATGCGTCTGTAATGAGTATAGAATGTACACTGGGTGAGTAAGTTCTAAGAACAGCATCACTCTAAAGAAACTTTAGCATACTTCGTAGGCATGACTCTTGTTCCTCACCTCATTTGAATGAATTAAATGTCAAAACATTAAATAAGCAGTTGGCAAGACAAGAAAAGTTAGGGATAAAACAGGAATAGTAATGAAGAGCACCAACTAGTGAACATAGTTCCGTAAGATTTTTTAAAGACGCTGCATTTGTCATTGGTACCAGTCGTTTCATACCTGTTTTAAGACCATTACTATCAACTAGGTATCCAAGGCACTCGAAACTAGATACACAATATGAACACTTGTTTGGATTCACTGCGATATTCTTCTCAATTAAACGACGCAATAAAGCAATAAGTCTCTGGTCATGAATTACCTTATCAGTACCATGAACGGTGAGATCATCTTGGTAAAATCAAACATTTACAATATCACTGACTACCTTACTCATAACTTCCTGAAATATGGCTGAAGAACAACTTAGACCGAATGGAAGGAAGCTGTACTTGAACAGACTAAAAGGAGTATTAATTGTTGTCAAAATAGATGAAGATTGATTTGAATGGACTTGAAGATAAGCATCTTCGAAGTCTAATTTCGAAAACACTGTAGAACCATGAAGTCGATTTAGAATATTTTCAGCCTCCATCGTCGTGCTTGTTTGCTTCAACAATCAGGAGTTCAGTGTTATTCTATAGTGACCACATATTCTAAAGGTTTTGCAATCCGACTCCAATTGGAGTACTCCATGCTGGAGACTGAATCGGTTCAATTATAACTTTCGCACACAAATCGTTTAATGTCTTATGTACGGTTTCTCGTAGACCATAAGGAATTATTCGCCTTTTAAGAAAGACTGGATCACCCTGTACTTGAAATTTTATAGGCTGGATTTTCATACATCCACTACACTTAGCACACGCAGCTATTAAATCTTTAATTAAAGCATCAGAATTTTCTATAGAAACTAGTAAAAACAATTACACTCTAAGCCTTTTCAGATTCTTGGAGCCTAGTATTGACAGTCCTGTTTTGCTAACTAAAACTTTATAATGTATATATGAAGAATTATCATCTCTTATCAGTAATTGACAGAATCCTCGTATGGGCAGTCAGTGTTGAGTAATCCTCAATATTGAGAGTTCAGTGGGTCTTACCACAACATGAGGATCTAAAGATTTCAAGTTCTTGAATGAAATAATGGACTCTATACCACCTGTGTCCACAATAAAGTCATGAAATGAACCAAGGGATGTATATAATCGCTTTTGAGTATGGACATTCCCTTTCGAAGTGGTGGATAAAGATAAATGATCATTAGAAACAGCCGAATTATCGGAATCTAAGTTACAAGACTTAGTAATACTTGAAGCAAAGTGAACAGTAGTTTTGCACACTGACTGAATATGTCTTGCTGCATTTAAAGCATTTAGCATTATGAAATGCACATGAATGAAATTTGCCACAGGATAAGCATTTACCAAACTTTTTCTCACCTTTGTTGTTTGCTTCACAATTCCTTGTTGAATCAGCTTTCATATTTTCACGAGAATAAGAATCACTATTAAACGATAGCAAGTTTGATCGACCCTGATATTGTGTTTCATTATGACGACTAAGCAAATCATTAGAAAATTCCATCGATTGAATATCAAGTTCATTCACTGGTTCATAGTTAATACATGATGTTCTAACATCTTGAACGGAACACTTCGGCATTCTTAACAGCTCTTTTTTCAGACATGCTATGTAAATTCCTTCAATTAATCGATCTATCAGCTGTACATGATGTTGATCACTAAAATTGCATTTTGGAGCATATCTTTGCGATTTAGGAGTGAATTCCCTAACCTGGTTATTCTGACGAGTCATCTTATGAAATTTCGCTCTCTTACGACATTCAAAACTGATGCACTTTACATGATTCAGTAGTAGTTCCTTGAAAGTTGTATAATGGAGTAAAATAGACTTTTCAGGACATGCCAAATTTTTTATAAACTGTAGGCTTGTTTACCGATGAATGTAAGAAAATGTGCCACAATATTATCACCCTCCACATCTTTTTTGGTCATGCTGCATACCTCAAACCATTCACAATGATCCTCAAAAGCTTCAGAAGTTGAATGAATGTCCGATTGCTCTATCGCAGGCTCCTTTACGACGCCAATGTGATACTCAAGGGTGTCTGAATCATAGTATAAACTAGTAATCCCGGAAACAACTCATTTTAACCAAGAAGTATCAGATGAACACGAACGAATGTGTATTTGAAATTCAAAATCAAGTAGTCGTCAATACAAAGGAATCATTGGTTCATACAATCACCACATTAATTCTCACAAATACAGCTCACTCAGGTAATAAATATTCTCCAACGCGTTTGACACCGATTCAAATGTTTCAAATAGTTGTGGACAGAAAGGAAGAAGAAGCTTTCGCTTAAAAAGCTTCCGTGTCTAGTAGCAGTGGATCATCTATATTCCAGGCTGGAATCTAGGTATGTTGACGATAATAGAGGAAAGAATAAATTGGTAAATCATCGTAAGATGTTATCCTTAGTCCTTAAGGATAGTTCAAATTGCATCTTTAAGGACTCTTTGGAAGTTGCTTGGACTATCTCAGTCGGCAGCGATTTCCAGCACTTGACAACTCTTAAGGAGTAGTAGTTGTGTCTACAGTCTACTCTGCTATGTTGGGTCTCCAGTCTCTGGGTGTTACCCCTTAGGTTAGTATTGTGAATTTATATTGAATTTGAGTCTCCAAACTGATTTCGTGGCTCGCTGTTTGATACTCTCCAGAGTGTTCTTATCGTTTGTTTCCGTACTCTAAATGTAGACGAATAAAACTGTTGAAGATTATGTGGAAGGTTCTACCACCAAACTGGCGGAAAATGCGCTTCAATGTAATCAGTGCAAAGTTTGCTCGAAAAGCCTTTTTGTCACAGTTAGCGTAGGACTTAAGATCGAAGGGCACCAATACTCCTAATTGTTTTTCGACTTGGGATACTTCTAGAGAGGAGTTTCCTAAGTTGTAACTGTAGTTTGCAGCATGTCGCAGATGGACTACTTTACACTTTGAAGTGTTGAATGTAAGTCCGTTGTTGTCTGCCCGACTTTGAAGTCGAGTCAGATCCTTCTGAAGTGCTAGTATATCCTTTTGGTTGCGTATCCCTCACCATAGTTTCACATCATCAACAAAAAGCAATACGATACTTATTGTGGAAGATCGTTTATATAGATCAAGAAAAGAGGTTCTAGTATTGAGCCCTGGGGGACCTCACCAGGACATTCCATAACCTGAGAGAGCGTGAAGTTAATTTTGACCCTAAAATGTCGATTTTTTAGATATGAAGTGAGTCGATGAATCAGGGGTGGTTTGATACCCAATAGTTTAATTTTATTGATAAGACACATATGATTGACCCTTTAAAAAGCTTTTGAGAAATCGAAGTAGATTATGTCAACCTTCCCCTTGCGATCAAGGATGCATGTCCATCTGTCAACCTCATTCGGCAGGTTGGTTAAACAAGAGTGACCCTTCCTAAAACCATGCTATCGCGGTGAGAATAATTTTAATGATAATAAGTAGTCGTGTATACCATCGCATATCGTGGACTACAAATTTTTAGAAGGTATAGAGAGAAGGGCCACCAGTCGGTAGCTTAAGGGTTTACTGCATCGACCTCCTTTGAAAAATGGTGTGATGTGAGCCAGCTTTCAAATTTCCGGGAGTTTTCCTTGACTTAGCGAGTGTGAGAACATCACGCCATGCAGTGTTGCCAAGATTGAAGCTGCTCCCTACAGTGTAGCAGAATGAACCATACCTGGGTCAGGAGAAGTGTCTTTTCTTAAGTGCTTCAGTTTACGGAACACCAGATCAGCTCTCCGGTTCACTTCGGAAAATCCTGTGCAGTTGAAAGTGAAGCTTTCATCATTGTAGTGTGGGTCGGTTGAAATGTCCGAAAGTATTGTTCAGCCAAAAGATTAGCGGCATCCTCGTCGTTATTGGTCGGACCATCAGGACCTAGCAGCTGGGGAACTGCAGTTTCGGCTCGTCGAAGAGAAGCTGCGTAACTGAACAAGCTTTTTGAATTGGAGACAAATTTATCAATAAGCTTGATTTGGTACTGAAGCCTGTCTTCTCTTATTGCCTTGGTGAACATATTCCTTATATGTTTGTACTGCCTGTATGCGCCGTTGTTATCAGTTCGTTTGCATTCTGCCCAACAGTGCCTTTTGTGGTTTAGCAAAAGAAGAGTGCTGCTCTTAGTAATTGTAGGTTGCTTGTAGGTTTTGGAGCCCGTTTGAGGAACTGTACGCTTAGTGGCACATAAGAGAGTGTGAAGTAAGAAATCCCAACTGCATCCACTTCAAGTTTAGGCTGAACAACCCAATCCACCTGCTGTACGTTCTCCTGTAGAGCTGACACATTCAGCCGCTTGAAATTCCAGCGTCTGTTGTTGGTGGGATATCTTAGCTCAGTTTTGCTGACAAGACTGACTGCTTTTCCGCAAGGGAGCCAGAATTGAGAGGTTGTCGACTAAAAATTATTCATTTGTAAATACCCAGTCTAAGTGAGATGGCATCTGATTGTTTTTCCAATGAGTTGCCAACTGCACATTTTCGGATACTCCCAGATTCTAAATGAGGTTGAAGGACCTAGTGTTAGTTGAGTTTTCAATTACAAAATAGATATATTCCACGAAGTTGACGTTAGGAAGATTAATGTCCCCTAGTATTAGGATATGAGAAAATCTTGGACGAGTAGAATGAGCTAATTCTTTCAGCATACGATTGCCGTACTCGATGTCAGTAAAGTGGTTCTGTAGATGACTCCAACTAGACACCTTGAGGTGGTAGACAATCTAACTGAGTGACATACGGATTCATCAGATTGAGAAACTCTTGGTTGTGAAGTTGGTGTACATCCAGGCATGATCGTATGTATAAGGCTACTCCAACCCCCATTCCTGTTGGCATTAAGCGAAGTAATAATCCAATGATGCTTTTGAACTAATCTGAGCCAGAAATCTCACATGATGTAGAGTGATGCGGGAGGGTAGTGTAATGCAATTATGATCTTCAATTGCAAGTCGTGACTGATAAGTCAGAATATGGAATTATGTTGGTAATACTTATTTGGACATCAAAATCATGTGGATATCAACTGAATAATAATAGTTTTTTCACAATTGACACAAACAAACAATAGATATTGAATATAAATGTGATTACACTTAAAACATTGGGAAGAAGACTGGATATCTTTTTTATTGTTAAAAAAAATCGTTAGGTCTACATGCTGCTATGAATTCATCAAACTATTGATTGGCGATAAGACTTATAGAGCTTCACGTTTAGCACAACAGAAAAATATGTAGACTCATATTCAAGCAGTAAGTGACGTGTCTAAAACATGAATTATGAAAACTACAGATTGAGGACTGGACCTGATATAGGTTATAAGCTACATTTCTTTGACAGTGAATTCTTTAGACTTATATTACAACAGATATAGCTCAAACAGGTTATAAAAAAGCACGTTGAATCTAGCATAATGTACACTTAAAATGCTTTGGGACTACTTGCATTACCTAATCAGTACTGTAAAGTTACGTATTTTTATACTTTAGGGACTAAGTATTGTTTTTTGTAATCCTGATATAAATCATAGAAACCCTCCGGATCAATATGTATGTTTGATAAAGCTCCGGGTTTGTACCCTATACATGCTTCACAACTATGACTACCACTTGCCTTGAACTTCCCCGCGCGACTGTCTTTCAAAATAATGAATGGGGATAGTGTTAGCAAAAGGTTGCTTGTCTTTTTATCACTAATGATCTATTCCTAATTTAGATTGCAGAAGGAATTAATGGAGTTGTTAGTAAGTTTTTGAGTTATTGGCCTTAATTCGTATGTCAGTTTTACTATCCTTCAGTGTTCTGTCGAATTCAAACCATATCCCCCGTTGACATTAAGTTCTTTGTATCAACTTAGTGCTAATTAATACAAATGCATGTATTTTATTTTCTTTATATCTGTTCAAAAGGGGATGCATTATTATCTTATGATTTAGTCACCAGATCCATCTTTACCGTGAGTCCCACACTTGAACTACACTCATGGCTGCACTAATGTATACCCAGCATCTGTCACGTGCTCGAGTCGTAAATAAAAAAACTCCCTGATTAGTAGATCCCTTCCTTAAACCATGAAATTGAAATTAGTTTATACCTTTCCTTTTATGAACTAATTCTTTTTCCATGCATCATATCCGTACATGAATTTTTTTTCACACTACCATTGAAGTAACTGGTTCTATGAATTCGGTGTTTATCTCGTTGTGATAATGAGATATGGCAACTTGAACCAGTGCATATATATGCCTGGTCCTACGTTTCATATAACTGACTGACTTTTGTTTTTGTCTTTGGAACTACATTTTGCGTAAAGTCTAGTAACTTTACTCGTCTACCCTAACTAATCTAAGTGAGTTACGTCTTGAGTCTGGTATTGGATATGTAATATTTGATTTGCTTAACTATTAAGCTTCAATCGACTTTCAGTCAGTCAGTTAGCGACAACGTAGAAGAAGGAGATTGATTATGAATACGGTGGTCTTGAGTGCCGTTAGAGGTATGAGGGCAGTTATCACTTCCCGGTTGCCCACACCGTGGAAGAGTTCTTCTAGGGGTACCTGAAAAGGAAGTAGGGTTATAAGTGATCTTAATGACCTGAGAGCATGACCGCAGTGCCCCAGGGACAACTGCTTGAGGTCGGTCACACACGACCTTTTTGTGGGTAGTTTTTGTGTTAGCTTCGTTCTTCAAAGGACGTTACCGATGGAGGCGAATATCCGTGGGATAAGGCGAGGTGTGCATTTTTAGGGTCGACCTTTTCTAACCCCACCCCTCCTTGTGGGAAGGCAGCATCGCTGTCATGCTGGTTGTCTGAAGGAAACACCTTCCTGCTGCCACACTTCTGTACAGTCAGCAGTACGACCTCGGACCTTGGGTTTGCTGCTTTTAGTCTCACCGCTCTTCAAACGACCTGTCTGGCATGGTAGGACCTTGAGGAACGATTGTTCCAGCCAGTATGGCTCGATTGAATCATCACGGTAGGCAAGCCCGATCACCACGTCAAGGTAGCAGCAACGGTCGGGAATCGACTTTCAACTATTTGGTGGACCATTGACAGCGCGATATACTTAATTGGGTTTGTTTTAATAAAGTAGTTTATTGATTTATTGAGATTCTTTATCTGGAATCCCTCAGGTGTCCTGTAACGTGACCCATCAGTATGTGTTACTGATGTAAATTTCCGCTTTAGTTATCGAAATACTCGGATTTCAACCTCTGAGTTGGAGATTCTAACCTCATATCATTTAAGGGGATTTGGGCGACCAGGTACAAAATATTTACTTGGTTATTGATTAACAGTAATCGATTACTAATTATCTCTCACCATGTGGTGTGTTCGTGCCATCTATACAACATCCAGCCGGTCATTCAGTTACAACGTAGAACTTCGTACGTGTGTACATCAGTTCGAGTTGCCACACCACATTAACACTGAGATGCAGTTGTCAATTCAAATTCCATAGTGATAGAAGTAGTAAAAGTAGAAGCAGTAATCCGAAAGATTTGAAGATGTTGTTGAAGGAGTATAATCCAGTGAAATAAATTTGGAAAGAGAAATAGACATGAAGAATTCAGAAGATTAGGATTTGGTAGAACATAAAGAGTGGACGCACCTTCATCATTGTAAACGATTTTGAGCCATGTCATTCAAGGTCTCTAACCATCCAACATCCAAATATGTTCAGACAACCAATTGTTATCACTGACACTACACAATAAAACTCAAAGCCAATTACTTGGTAAACGAGATAAATCACAATGCATAATAATAACCCTGTTACCCTTTGCTTCTAAAGTAAGTTTACTGATGTATTAACTTGCGTCACAACTTTGTGACTAGGCTTCAAGAAAATGTACAACTCATTGCCTTGAAATGTAAAAATTAGTCAATGTGTGATCTGTTGAAACTCCTCAGAGTGCTAATAAAGGCATTGAAGGCTTTACAATAATATGATTCGGACAATGTAATGATTGTATTATATTCCCTTATTTCATTTGTACATATATATATCCATGCCTAATTCCCAAGTTAAATAAATGTGTAAATCGAGACAGCTAGCTTCTCGAGAGAAGTAGTCTAGTGAATTTTTAATTTTAAGTGACTAGACTTCATACAATTTAAAAAATACCCTATTATTTTTTCTTGATGTTAATTGCTTATCACAGATGTCCAACGACAAAAGCGTGACGGCATTCCCAGATGGTGAAAATCTCACTCATTGGTTAGCATCTATACGTGGTCCTGATGGAACGGTAAGTATATCAGCCTCTACATAAATGTCAAGTCTTGATGTCGTCGTCTAATCCTCATTTCTCTATAATCATTGATATCTTACTGATTTTGTCTCTTAAAGGTATATGAAGGTCAGCAATACAAACTTTCACTTGAGTTTGGTCCTAACTATCCATACAGTCCTCCTAATGTGCGTTTTGTTTCTAAATGTTATCATCCTAATGTTGATACTCGTGGAGTAATATGCTTAGATATTCTGAAAGAAATGTGGTCTCCCTTACTGACTGTAGAAAATCTGCTGTTATCCATTCGAAGTTTATTAGCAGGTTAGTGTTTTAACATCGCATCTATATTTCTGAATTATGTTGACTGCTTGTGCACAGAACAGCGTAGTCCTAGAATACATGGCAGCTTCGTTCAAAGTGTGTACTAAAAGATTGCGTATATATATATATATATATATATATTTGAGCCCCTGTGTAGTTGAACTACACACGTGATTGCATGTCCAGTTTTATATATCGGTAGAATAAAGTGAAGAGCTTAGGTGTTTTAAAGTTGTTGGTACTAACAAATTAGAGTTTATTGTAATGGTGAGGTTCCACATATTTACATTTCATTCATTTAGTTTGACTATTAAGTATGTACACCTAATCCAAGATAATTTTATTCCCAAGCATGGTCCGATCACTATGAATTAAACAAACATAACAGTGGCTACCACTCAGCGGTCAGAAAGTGTGAATGTATCATTTCTACAGTAGGTCTGTCGCTACTCAAATGGCTCAGTGGTGACACCCCGGAGTGACATGGGTTTGAAGATCATGAGGAGTATCAGGTCCCCCAAGACTGTAAGTACGCCATGTCAATATGTGCTAGTTGATATAAAATGTAGTTACGAAATTCACTTCTAACTATTTAACATCAGGACAGTGCAGTAAGCGTTGAGTCACTTAAACTCGTGGCCAAATCAATATTAAGTACTAGATAAAAATTACATAGGTCATTACCTAGTGATCGGTCAATGTTAAGCATTTGACAACTCTTATGCGATGTTTGCAATAAACTTCTGAGCTGAATGCTTCTAGTAATGTTTCTTGTCCTTTACAGAACCCAATAATGATAGTCCTTTAAATGGCCAAGCAGCCCAACTCTGGTCTAATCCTTCTGCATTCCGTACTGAAATGATGAAATTTCAAGCATCATCGTCTAACAGCTAGTCTATGTAAATATTTCAGTGTCTGGCTATTGTGTACAGTCAAATTTTCTCCTTAATGGTCTGCAAACTTTTGTACTATCCAATCACTTTCCCTCTATTTTCCAGTTTCTGTATTCCACCCAAAATTCATGTATTTATCCAAACGCAAGGCATACTCAAAAGACTTGCGTAGAAATATTATATACATACAAAATAAAATGTCCTATGAAACATTATATAATGAGTTTTTTTCAACTGGATGTAGTGGTCAACAAACCATTTCCAAATGAATTTATTTGATTTGTTGTATTGTAAATTTGATTTATTGTGTTTATAAGTCGTTGATATTGACGTTTATCAGATCGTGAAAGACATGATGCAAGTCCAGTTAACTGAGATCGTGAATATTTAGTTCCATAGTTAGTTAACCAATGCTCCCATTCGTGTATAGGTATATAGAATGCCTGAATATATTCGATTACATAATCCAGCTTAGGAAATGACCTAGAACAAAAATGCCAATAGTGAATTAATTAATGTCGTGAATATGAGCAGAAATAAGGTAAAATCTAACATTAAAGAAAAAGAAACGGAAAGTAGTCATAACCGAACTACTGGTATCCATCATCTCAAACCAAGGATTTCACTTATTTACTATTTAGTAAGCTCAACAAAATTCAAACAAATTGTGGTATGCCCAAGTCATAATTTATGCGCAAAAGGTCATTTCAACGAATCTTGCATATTGAGAAATACGATGAACAATGGTGACGATAACAACATAAGTTTGCTATTAGTTTATGTTTCTAGAATGACAGGAAGTATGTTTTCTAAAGTGAAACGAGGTACTTTTCATCATGTGATTACTACTAGAAACTCCTACGGTTTAATCGTATTTCAACGCGGTTTAGAATGGCAAAAAAGGTTTAACTCAGCATGCCAAAACATGTTTTGTGTATTCTTTGGTGAGAGTTTGAAATCCTTAAAGAGATTTTCAACTGGCTTATAATTAGTCTGCACGGTTTTTCGTCATAACGAATCGAGTTCACTGAGAATAAACGGTCTAAGATATTCTAAGCGCATTTTCTTCATAATATTTTGTACATGACAGGATATTTCTTTAAAACGAAAAAAACAACCCGAAAAGATGGTCCCAAAGAATCTTCATTTGACATTATTCACAGAGCTTATTGTTAATAGAATTTAATGTGTTTTTTTAAGCTTAAAATACCTCAACTACTATTATGATTAGAAAAAACTGGTGTCACTGATTCTATTCAATGTTGAAGATGTCAACAATAAGTAGTAGTTTATTTTCAAATAATAGCGATGAGGCGTGTGTACTAAATAAAATTCAAATAAGTTCAACGGGATGATTTGAGTGATTGGAAGAAGTGAAAATTCATGGCTTTGCAAATAATTGTTGTACTTTTATGTTCCTGATGATAAGGACGATACAATTGTCCGAAAAATGTGTGCATTATTTACTATATATAGGTTTGTATACTCGGTTTGAGTCGAAAACTCACAATGCCACCCGTTTTGACAAGTAGTAGTATTTAGAATGGGATTTCAATGTGCAGTCTACCGATAGCTCACAGTCTTCCATTTTCATCTAGTCTGACCTGAAGTATCTTGGCACATAAATAAGATTTAAAAAGGTCGAAATCAAAGTATACAGTCCTAGAAAATGTGATTTTACAGTCAAATTATTGGGTTCGAATTCACGTAAGTTCAAGCGATTCATGAATAATCCCCTTCTCCAGGTGATATTGAGATGTATTCGTGATGAAAGATATATAGATTATCATGAAGATGGTTATCATTACGGACTGCCGTTGGCTGGAGGACCATTTAAAATCAAAGTAAACTAGATGAATGTGTTGACTTCCAGTTAAGGAGTTAAACACAAGGAGTATCGAGACGAGGGGACTACCCTTAAAATAATAAGTTTTAACTCAATTGTCTATATTTCTAACTCTAGCCACTTACCTATGTAGCGCAATTGTCATTCAATATCATCGGTGGTAACAATTTCACTATCGATAGATATAACTGAACTCTACTAGTCACGACTCCTCATTTCTATCTTGAAGTTAATCGGAAGGATGCATAAAGCTATTATTTAGTTGGCTAAATTGTCACGAGATTTAATCGATTCGACAAAAAAAACACATTGGACATTCGCGATTTTTAACGAGTAATTCATTACAAGAAAGGATTATTGAATTCTTAAACCTGGATTCGTATAATAATATAGCAATTAAAAACAATGAGAAGAGGTTCTGTGGAGATTTCAGTATTTGTCAAAGTTGAAATCATGAGTCAATTGAAGCTAGACCACCATCGAAAACCTAGAAGCACTGGACGGCCGTCTCGTTCCATCATGGGACTCCTCAGTAGTGCGCATCCACGATCCCGCATTTGTGAGATTCGAACCCAGGACCTACCAGTCTTGAGCCAGAGCCCTTAACCGATAGACCACTGAGCCGGCCGGCATCCAACGGTGTTAATGTCTAACTTCAACCGATCCACGAAATTGGATGCCGGCTCAGTGGTCCATCGGCTAAGTTCTCGCGCGCGAGACTGGTAGGTCCTGGGTTGGAATCTCGTGAGACGGGATCGTGGATGCGTACTGCTGAGGAGTCCCACAATAGGACGAAACGGCCGTCCACTGCTTCCAGGTTTTCCATGCTGGTCGACCTTCAATTGACTCATCATTTCAACTATGAAAAATTAAAAACAATATTTATCAAATTGAGTTGTATATTTTAAACATACCGTATTTTACTAGCGGATTGAGCATATACAGCTAATGTTTGTATATCTAATAACATTTGACCACGTCCTTCATCTGAACACTGTTGTACACGACTTAAAGCTTCAAGTAATTGTGATGCCAAACAAGATAATAATGCTTTCCAAATAACAATCATAAATATATGATCTTGTAAATGAAATTCTTTTGATATATTTTGTAAAATTAATGATAAAGGATGAAATACATTAATATTTATATCATAAACATATGAATTTGGTGTGTTAGCTACTTCTTTAGTTGACCAATTTATTGCACATATATGCATAGTTAATATATCAATTGAATCGGTAGTGGATACAATTAAATTGTTATGTATTGATGTTGGGGATGATGAGTTTGTATTGTTATTATTTGGAATAGATGATTCTTTGTCGATAGTTTGTTGTTGCTGATTTGTATTAGATCCTATTGGCCATATTTTACTGAAACTTGAAGTAATCGATGCGTTATTTGTTGCTGGTAACTGTTTACAATTTTTTGCTATCACATCAGTCATTCTAAAAAGATAGAGAAAGCGAATTTCTTACAACAATCCGAATTTTAATCTATGATAAATTTGGCTAGTAAATAGTTCTCATTTGTTACACATAGCTATATGGTTAAAATAGTCCGAAGGTACAGTGGATTAGTTTCGTTCTTTATATGGATAGTTGCATTTATTTTGAAAATATTTAAGTCAACAAAAAGTTTGGCTAGTTAAATGGAACTCCTGTTTGTTCGGGTGCTACTGTACACGGAAATTCAGTTGGCGAATGTTACGACTAAAAAAGATAATTGAGGTACGAGGGTTTTGATGAAAGTTTGCTCTCTGAACTGGATGGTTTGGTCGTGGAGCTTTCATCGTCCTTCTGAACGACATCACCAGCACAAACTTCGGGCAGAAGTGGAGGGTGGATTCTTACTGCTGATGATACTAGGTTGTGATGCCGCTATTAAAAAGTTTACTTTATACAATACTGTATCGCCAGCGATGTTGTTGCCTTTACATAACAGAAAAAAATAGAAAAGGCTGGCCTTGAAAATAACAAAACTTACTGCACGAATTTTCGTCGTTCGAGTTCAAGCTCCTAAAATACAGATCTAACGCACCTCTACGACTTCTCTCAAAAAGTCCATGAGTGATGACCTTCAAGTATTTGTACTGCTGTCATGACGCTTCTGAACCGCTAAGGCCACTAGTAGTTCAATTTTCTCTCCAGGTACCTCATAAATGAGTATCTATTTTTGGTGTGACCAACTGGGAAGTGACAAAAGTTCAAACTCACCTTGTGTTCGTGATACATAAATATAATTCACACAAGACCAACTTACTTTGTGATTATGATATTTAGCAAATGTGGTGCCAGTTCGTTTGCACATGGTTCGCGGATTTGTCTTGCTGCCATCAAAGATTGTTCACGGAATACAAGTGCTAGTCCACGTTTATTATCCGGAAGACATGCTGTTAAATGCGGAAGAAGAACCTGAAAGAATATTTTACCCAAAAGTGTATTACTTTTTTTTTTCTTAAAACAATACATTATTGGTATGCATGTAAAAGCTTTTTACATTCGGAACAACTAATACCGATAAGAAGAATCACATAAATAAGTACTAAGTATCCATTAGTTTGATTTCCTTCAAAAAAGTACCCAGGAAAAAACCGGATTGACCTTGTTTTTGAGTAGCTCGTTTACCAAGCACATATTTGTGTAATACTACAACCTATAAACAGACACATTTTAGTATGACAGATCGTCAGAAATACTTAGATTTGTTAATGATGGATATACATACACCACTGGATTTTAGTTCAGTGATCTAAAGGCTATGATGTCGTATGCGATAGTGAAGGTCCTGGGTTCAGTATTTAGGGGCGGAGTCATGGATCGGCACTGCTGAGGATTTCCACACTAGGCCAAGACAACTATCCGATGTGTTTCAAGGTTTTCAATCGTGGTCCAACAAAGATCAGTGCATAATCTAATCTATGCTGGATAGTTATCCAAACAAAACATCAAAAATGAATTTAGAGTAAAAATTCTTCCGGGTCATATGCCAACTAATAACATCAAATTTTATCGAAACTCGATTCACGGCCGTTCTCTATCGCAAACAATAACCAATGTAACATTTTCACAGAAAATAAATAACAATAATGATAAACTTACTGTCTCTAAAATGTCTGCCAGGAAAATAACTGACTCAACTGCGACGACGTAAATTTGTATTAGTTGGTGTTCACGTTTATTATTATTATTATTATTGTTATTATCGCTAATTGCCGGATTATTGTCAGTAGGATTTAATGCATGCAATAATTCAATAGGTCCATGCAAAGGAAGGGAAAATCGATCCTATAACAATGTCATGATTGAAAAAATTATATATATACCTAAAAATGAATTGAACTATGGTACATAGTAATATTTGTACAAAAGAATGTCTTAAGAATCCTCAAAGTTTAAATAACGAACTGATTTTAAATAGACCACCATTGAAACCTGGAAGCAATGGACGGTCGTTTCACCCTAGTATAAGTTCGTGCGTAAGACTGAAGGTCCTGGGCTAGATTTCCAGTGCCAAGGGCCTGGATGCTCACTGCTGAAGAGTTCCATATTAAGATAAAACATCTGTTTAATCCTCCCAGATTTTCATAGGGGATGTAAGTAAGATCAGATCGTGGTTTAAACTGAATGTTCTACAATCTCCACAAAACCCTATGCTAAGATCATCGTAAAATTTAGGAAAAAATTGATCCGATGTAAAATTAAGCAACTCATTATATACAAACCTTAGTCACTCAGCATAGTTCATGTATCCGGCAATGAGTTACAATTTATTGTATATGAGAGATTATGACATAACTTCCATGCTTAAACCGAAGAAGGCGATGAGAAGTCCATAATTATTAGGATTTTGAAGCACACAAATTATAAACCTCTGATAAGAATAGATCAAGCACAGAGGACTTTGAACTGACACTTTTCCTCAGTCAACTTCAGTGTTACGTATTTGATCATATCAAATATGATACGTCCCGTACTTGAACACTTGATAGTGACATTCTAAATGCTGCTAACCCATTAAATTCCCCAGCGTTTGAACCCCAAGCTGAAGAATAAGGTCAGGAAGTATGAAAAGAATCTTTACCTCTGAGGTTAGTTGGGGCATAAGAAACAGGGGTATATTTATAGATCAATTGGTGACTTTGATATTCTACGCGCTTCTTGGTTGTTTCAATACTCTCAGTTAGTTACTAGTATATCAATAAAGTTGCTTGGAACCCATGTTTCGCCCCATTTGGTGCTCGTCAGCTGGATGTGCCTATCACATTCCAGTGTTCACATTGGGACTTGAATGAAGAAACTGGTGTAGTTTTGTTAAGAGATGAAATATATTCATTAAAACATTTCGCTCAATCCAGACGAAAATTATTAATTGTACATAAAATGATTTACATAATATAAACCTTTCAATTGAAACGAAATCTAACCAAAAAGACATGAAAAACTGAATAAACCAACCAAGCGTAATGAAAAAAAACGTCAATAGAGTAGAAGAGAGAGTGGGTGGAAGTAATAATAATGGGAAACAATATGAAACATAAAAAGCATTCATGGATTAACTAACTAAGTAACTAACTAACCCCTGTTAAAATACTTTGATGATTATCAGTTGTTATTAAACGTTCATTGATACGTTTTATTGTTGTTCGTAAACGTTCTGGAAATTCAGATGAATTCGATATCTAATAAAGGAAAGCACACGATTAACAAATAAGAAAAATGAAAAAAAGGAACATTTAATCTTTTCGATTTGTTAATCATAAAATCGGATAATTTTCAACAATGAACATGAGAACAAAGTGAGCAAGAGGAATAAATGTGTACCTATTTGATTAATTAGACTGTGATCAGCGAAAATAAGAAAACCCGATTCAATTTAATCTATATAATGGGTTTAGATCACGCGGTTTTGATATTCTTGACTGAAATTTAGACAGATTTAGTTGGTATACGTGGATCCTGCGCAAATTCAATGGATATAGTCATTATGACACAAATTCATATATAATAGATGTCATGTGACTAGCAACAGTTCAGGAGATGCGTTTCGTCTTATTTGGAATTTTTCTAGTTGATGTAACTGCTAACTAAAACCAATCAGATTTCAGTCGAAATATCAACAAAGGGATAATTCAAACCATTACAAACTAAAGTTCGTACCACTTTCACAAGTGAGGTGCTAGCTATCTGAACTCAGGAGCCAAGTGGATAATACGTACGACGTTTAAAACGAAAGGTACTGAGGTGAAGGTATATCGAGCTGACGAGCCACAAATGGGGCGAAACGGATGTCTTGGATTCTACCTCTAATCACATTACATCAGTTCTATATAAGCATAATTCAATGTTCTCCAGTTTTTCATGGTTTTCTCAGATGACATCAACAAGTGAAGAAAATTGACATCGAATAGTATTAAACCAGAGCTTCAGTTAAAAATATAACAATTTGGAAAAACGACACAGTGATGACTGGTGCTAACTGGTTCGAAAACAGGGTAAATTAACCAATAGGACTTTACTCAAATCACTTGGAGGTACGAAGTAAAACATGAAAATCAGTAAACTTCTACCCTCATCATCTATTAACAAAGTGATATAATTTAATGATAAATCATCAGGCTATTCTTTATATCAAACATCAGGTTTATTATCTAATGGTTAACAGTACAAATCTGACCATTATAGTATTAGATTTTCTTTTATTTATAGATCTACATGTTGAATAATAACGACAATAGCTGAGGTTATCCATAGTATTTTCAATGTTCAATGAGTTTATGTTGTATCCAGCGATCTTAATACAATTCTCCTAAGAAATTTCATTTCAACTTTCACCATATTTATAATTTTCATCCAATATGTTAAACCGCGTTTCATAGACTTGTCCATAGTAGACAGTGGAGGATAGCTTAAAATGCTCAAAATGAATATTTAATGCAGCACACTTCCAATAAATGAAAGTGTTAGATACAACACAGTCATTGAACACTGAAAACAGTGAAGATATAATTTCAGCCGAAGCAATTACAGTAAAATAACAACTTCAGATGATCAATAATTTATAATTTATTTATTTAAACATATAAACATTGGTACAGGGAGGCATCAAATATATATGCACCACACAAATCATTGGATTGGTGTGAAGGTTGGAATACTGTTCGTGCGCTCAAACCAAAGCATGTAGTTTTTAAAGGGGCCACTTCTTCAGACTTTGACCTAGATGCAGTCCCATGGTAACTAGTAACGGACAATAGGTTCCTAAGCCATTTGCTCCCTCAGGATCCTGTAGCCCATGTGCACCAGTGGTTTGGAATCAGAGTTTTCCAATTCTTCTAGGTGGATCCTACGTATCCACCAACCCGGTTAAAGCACCGGACATTTTCTTTCGTCCTCTCACTTTCGTGAACAACACCCCCGCCGCGAAAAGGCAGTGGGTAGGACTTTCTTGGCAGCGGCTGTATACGCGTGGTCATGTGACAGCATTTTGAGAGGGAGAACTGAATCTATTCACCCTCTGTCGTTCCAGGGCATAGGTATTGAAGAAAAAAGGAACACAGCAAGTAATAAATGATCACTTATACACAGTGAAAAAAACAGGATGATAATGAATTCACACACACTTACTTGTATAGGACCAAATAGATTAAGAATCTAGATATAGAAATTAATTTTATGGAAAAGAAATCACATAAAATACATGTTATAAAAACAAAAAATTTCTAAAAATATACACAATTAATATGATTATATTATATTTTTTAGAAAATTATAATTTTATATAGTTAATATCATGAGTTAATTGAAACTAGACCACCATGGAAAACCCGAAAGCACTGGATAAGCGTTTCGTCCTATTGTGGGACTCCTCAGTGGCAGTGCGCATCCATGATCACGTCTAGCGAGATTCGAACCCAGGACCTAATAGTCTAGCGTGCGAGCACTTAAGCTCTAGACCACTGAACCGGCCGCAATCCAACGGTGTTAATGTCTAACTTCAACCAATCCACGAAATCGAGCAACCATTCACCAATGTCTTCAGTGAGTTGATATCTCCCAACAAACCTGGTTGAACTCTACTGGTTACTGCTTCTCACTATAACTCCAGGAAATACGTCGTGGAGCCAGTCACTAGTGAGCATATGATTCTTATCAGAAGGGGGTTTTGTGGAGATTTTAGTAATTTTATATAGTCGTGGATGCGCACTGCTGAGGAATCCCACAATAGGACAAAACGGCTGTACAGTGATTCCGGTTTTTCCATAGTGGTCTAGCTTCAATTGACTCATGATCTCAACTATATAAAATTACTAAAATCTCCACAAAACCCCCTTCTAAAAATTATAATTTGTCAAAATTTATTTTAACTAGGATTAAACTCTATTATGTCATTAGATATTGAATAAACTGTATGTCATTCAGTTGGTAAATCCAGTGTTGATCAACTTTTGACGGTGTCGAAAAAACCCTAAATACATGAACCACTAATTTTGAGATTATTTTCATAATTAAATATGTCTTCTTTGTACAGATGGTAAATAATCAGTATAACTTTGTGAATTATCGTCATCTTACTAATCAATTTGTACGTTAGGGGTCATTTGACTTTAAATTAAACTTTAAGATTAAGGATTATTTGATACTATCTGACTATTCAGTCGACAGAAGATAGAGAAGGGCTCGAACTTAAGATCCGATTATGAAAATCTCATTACATTAATAATTTAAACAGAGTTTCATATACTTTGATCTTAGCGTCTGTTCAACATAACCGTTCACCCAGAACTATTGAGTTATTGAAACTAGTTTCCGTTAATTACCACAAACTACAGTAACGAATCTGTGGTGTCTAAATTGAATGTTGAAACTTAAAATATAGGCTTGTCTAGCTTTCGCCAACTTGCGTCATTTATGGAGTAGGCGAGATATTCGTCTAACAACCAAAGGACGGGTTTACTGTGCAGCAGTTCGTTCCGTCCTACTTTATGGCAGTGAAACATGGCCGATAAGAGTGGAGGATATTCGTAGGCTGCTAGTATCCGATCATAGGTGCCTTCGAAGCATTGCTCGTATATCCTAGGATCACCGAGTAAGTAATACAGTCGTTAGGAAACGGGTACTAGGTAAGGATGGCAAATCAATTGATGAAGTAGTGAAATTTCATCAGTTGAGATGGCTGGGACACGTGTTACGTACGCTCAATCATCGACTGTCCCGACGTGCAATGTTTTATGGCGTAAGAGTTGGTTGGAAAAAAGCTAGGGGCGGCCAGATAACAGAATGTCATAGCATATGAAGCACTAATCTGAAAAGAGACAAATACTGAAAAATATATAGTTATTATTAGTATAGAGATTGTGGAGACTGTTTAACTTTATTGCAATTATAAGCTAATCTAGGTCAGACAACCGTTGAAAACCTGGAACTATATTGGACAGCTGATTCGTTCTAGAATACGACTTCACAGTTTTACGCTACAACGACGCCAATACTTAATTCATCATGCACTCATAAGTGAATAGCCTCGAGAAGAAATTCAGAGTTCTAGGGAGAAACTGTGACTAGTGGAGTTTAACCGTGTCGGATGTGATGAAGGTAATCACTGAAGATAATGACTGCGCATAACGCGCGTTTTACTGGAGCTAAACTTGCCCACCACAGGATCTTTGTGTAGTTGTTCATAGGTTAAACGTTCGCGCATCAGATCGAAGGCCTTAAGTCCGGTATCCAGTAGCGGATTCGTGGATGTGCACTGCCGAGAAGTACCATATTAAGATGAACCAACTGTCTAGTCCATCAAGGTTTTGAATGGTTACCTAACTTAGATTGGTTCGGGATCTCAATATAATAAAATTACTAATTACTGAGTTGTAACCAATGCTTAATCCTTTGGCGCTAATCTAATTTTTTCGATCAAATTGAAATACGACTACCATTTTCAATGACTCCAAATCATGTGCATTATATCTTTTGTCTTCAGCTGTTTGGAGGTGATCAGTAAAAACCATGTTATTAGGTTTTGTGCCGAGTGCATACGATCTTGAGGGAATTCGTGATTCTCACTTCATTTAATAAACATTAGGTATCGCCCCTCAGATTCATTCAGTGTCAACAACTCATATCTACAGGAGGTTAGTCACGGCCCGAATCTTTCACTTGTATTGATCCGAACTTTCACACTGAGTAACTTAAGTAGTGTGACTATGAGATTGCGGACATATCCTGAGGAGGAGCGTCAACTAGCGCGATAGCTTTAGTCTTAAAAATTGCCCCAGGTTGCTGCCGACCATTTAGCAAGCAAAAAAACATACTTTATTGTTAAATAATCACTTTCCACTTACAGAGTACAAATAATAATCAAATAATTGACATAGACAATGCATTACTTCACCAGCAATCGGTTGTAAAAGTCTCATCATTTGTAAGTAACGACCTATTAAAGAATAAGGCAAAAAAATAAACACAATTTACTAGGTATTCAATAATTAAACATGAAAAGTTGGGTTCAGTTGACAAGTCAATATCGCTTGAGTACTTTTTATCTCTCTCTCCCCCCTTTCATGTGACACATTTGAATTCAATAATCCGACTGTTTGGTGGAAACTAGTTATAGACCAGAACAAAAATTTACCACTAATACACAATACAGAGTAGTAAGCAGTATCAAAGTTGGATGCATTTTACAACATAAAAGGGTCTTTTATATTTAATGTAGCTGAATATGTCTGTTTTCAATTATTGACCGATCACAGGTCATTCTGGACGTATATGTATATGTATATTAGGAGGCGTATTGGTATCATGTGGTTGTTGTATGATATGGAAAGTGTATAGAGAAGAAAAAATTCTGCGACTGAAAGAAAAACGTAGTTGGTGCTGTTTTACTACACAGTTCAACAACTATCTACTTAATTCCAACCAGACACAATCTCATGATTATGATATTTGTCGGAGAGTTCAGTTCAAACACTGAAGAGCCTAATGGTTTTTTTTAGGTAATGTGACTGAAAGCGATCATAAACAACCCCCGTTTAACTTAACGTTTAGGATATTTAGCACTAGTCAGCAATGTACATCTGGAATTTTGAAGGATTTGATATTATTCCATAGAGTCGAATCCATGCTGCTTCCTGTCATGTACACAGGAGTTAACTTCAAGTTATTTAGTCTACAGCTGATCGGCTGTACGATTAAATATCAAAACTAATTGACTTTGAAAATAGTAAAATGTCCTATGCTTACAACTAGTATTCGTTAAATTCTATCTATTCAAAGATGAACTGTAGCTACTAATTCAAAGTGATTTTCCCTGATTCAAGGCGACTACAGACAAAAGAAAGGAATAATGGAATTTCTCGTATTCGTACTGGCCACCACCCGGATATATATATATATATATTTCCCTAGAGTAAAAAGATAATCTAAGTTAGACCACCACTGAAAACCGGGATGAACTGGATGGCCGGGGTTCCTAGTGAGAATTCGTGACCAATGAAGTTCAAACATGTAGAGTGTGAGGCAGTTGTTCACAGAAAACAATGGAAGATGGTCACATTATATTGCGGATTGGTTAAAGTTAGACATAAACATCGTTGAACACCACCTCACTGGTCTAGAGGTAAAGGGTTGGAGCGCGAGATCGAAGGCCCTGGTTCCAATTCCTGAAAGTTGGGTCGTAAATATGTATTAGTAAGGAGTCTCATACTAGGACAAAATGGCCATCCGGTATTTCCAGGTCTTCAATATTGGTCTAACTTAGATCGGTTCAGGATTTTAATGAAATTCAACTATCTCCTATATTTTTACAAAAGAAAATCATTTACGATAGTGAGTAATAAACAGCAAATTAAAATCAAATGACTGTAATAAGATAAGTGGAATATCATGTCATGTTAATCAGAATGGTAACAATAATAATTGTATAAGATAATAAGTTCTATGTCCATTAAGAACAGGAAGAGGTCAACGGTAAAAGATTAAGTTCAAGGTCAAGAAGTAAAATATGAACTTTAGGTCATCAATTCGATCAGTAAAGTAGATGGGGCGACCTTATGTTTATGAAACAAAGGGTGTGAATATACTTTAGTTGAACGTAATCATTGTATCTTTTCTTTAATCAGTAGTAACTCTTTATAAATTCCATTCAGAAAAGAAAAGAAATTCTTGCTTATTTTAAACAATTATATATATATATATAACATTCCTGTTTAGTACAATAACAGCGCATGATAGTGTTGTTATTAGTACCATAGTATTTATCATACAGAAGTTTTGAAAAGTGGTATTTTATGATTTTGCTTAAATTCCTGTATTTTATTTTTACTAATTAACCGACATTTATGGATCTAAGAGTTAAATGATTTGAAATTATAGTGTTATTGATTCTATATGCAAAGATTAATGATACCTATATTGAATCGTATAAACAGAGGCGGAATAGAGTTCGAAATTGTAATGATCTAACCACTGAACTATCATTCAAAACCTGTAAGCTAAAAAAAATAGATGAGAATGAAATGTATATGGATTGTTTCAAAGAAGATAAAGAATGTGTGTTGCTGCCTCAATGACTCGATGGTAGCAACACAAACTGTAACGACCTTTTTGCACGGCAAGACCAGATAATCAAACATCAAGGACATAGTAGTGACTGAATCCGCTCATGGACTACAATAAATCCACTTAAGGTTTATGAGTACAAGTGAATGGTCTATGTTGACAGCGGTACACACGAAAAAGGAAAATAATCCAATCGCACTATCAGCTAATTGAGAACGCAAGTGTCAGTCGACAATAATAATAATAATAATAATAATAATTATTATTATTATTATTATTATTATTATTGTCACCATGTTCTCATTAGCGACTAATTTCGAGTGGTAATTACAAGATTCCAGGTGGAAACCCATGACTGATGGAGTTCACTCCTGTCGGGATGAAAGCAATCACCTATCAATGACATCAGATGATGATTGCACAACATGGAGAACCAACTAAAGTTAAAAGTGTAAACCAATGGATGACAACTTGGCAGTCTAAAGATTAAACGTTGTGAATGGACAGTGCTAGAGATTTATGTACTGGAACGAAACAGTTGTCTACAACTGACTAGTTTCAGATGAATGGTCTAAATAAAATCAGTTTGTGATGTTAACTAGGAAATTGATTGGTTGTGAAAAATCCTTAATGATCATCAGTCAATCAATTAATCAGCAAAAATGAGAAAGGGTTTTGTGGAGATTTCAGTATTTTCATAGTTGAAATCATGAGTCAATTGAAACTAGACCAACATGGAAAACCTGGAAGCACTGGATGACCGTTTCGTCCTATTATGGGACTTTTCAGCAGTGCGCATCCACGATCCCGACTCGCGAGCGAGGTAATACTTTTTAGTGTATACCAAATGATATACTTATAAATTAATCCTAACCCTATAATAAAGCATAAAGTTTAATGGATATTACTGAATTTTAAAAAAAATATCAGCTGAATCGTAAGATAAAATGACAATTCTACCATACTGATCATATGAATGAAATATACATTGAGTAAAGGTGGTTTTGTTTTATATTTCATGGTCATTAATACTACCTTTATGTCAAGACCTATGAATTTTATATATAAAAAAGAATACTTCCATTCCTTGGTTATACAGATCTTAGAATACAACAAGCCAAGTCGATAAATTAATTAATTTATAAAAAAGTATTTTTTCCCCAGTTCATTGTCACTAAAATAGTGTTTTCTGGATGGACGATTAAATGAATAGTAACACTAAACGTAGTAGTCTAATTGTGACTTGTCAGTTTAATGTACCCGCATTTCAAGGTTGATTTTCATATTTGGGACTGGTATGAAACAACTTTCGCCTCACATTTCAACCCGTTACCCACGGAGCTACTGGATCCAGATAGCTAATAACTTGTTCAAAGAGAATTTTTATATTGCCGTAAGACAATCTGTATATGGCGTGTATATGCCAAAAAGATCGATAAAAATTCAATTCTTAATATCAACAACGGGGACTAATTCAGATACTGACTAGTAACGATATAAATGAAAAATATGCTACTTCAGTCTTTGTGCCAAATAAACCTGGTTCGTTGATACGATTGTCTCAGTTATTTTATCCATTACGTGAGAATTGTAAGCACAGGATACATAATCTACATGATCATGGTAGATTTAACTTTTTAAAAAGTTGCCCACAAAAATTCTATTTCCTCTAGCAAAGTAACCTCAAGAATTCTTTGACATAGGGTGTAGTATACCTTCATGGGATTGAGTAAATGCTAGTCGATATACTTAGAACCAAAATGACCATTTCAAGATGAACGTGTTCTAAAAATAGATTAATTACTATGAGCATCTTATTTACCGCACATAAATGTTCTAGACTTTAATAAGGAACAATATGGTTTCGAATTTCAAGAAGAGCAAGTCATAATGCTGTTAGGGGTATGTAGTAGTTGTTAACTCCGTTGAACTAATCGTGAAAGAACAGTTCTTCTTGTGGGATTCGATAAGAAAACATAGTTTGAGGTAATATTTTCGATCTGAAAGCATAGAGCCTGTGGGACAACTGTTTTGTAAGTAGTTTCTAAAGTAATGGCCCTGTACTTTTCAGACCTTGCCACCAAAACCGGAAATCCTTGAGGGAAGTTATGTTCCGACATATCACAGAGCTAATCTCTTTTAAGTTCCTTTCAGTTGTACGAAGATGGGATCGCTGGAGAAGCTGGTAATCCATAGGAAACACCTCACTATCACTACAACCCAGTGGAAACGTCAGTGTGATTTCGTATTTGTACCACAAATTTACTGCTTCAGGTTTTATAACTCACCAACCCAACCTGCACAATGTGGTATAATTTCATGCAACATGTGTTTCAACCAATACAGCATTATGAGGTCATCACAATAGGAAAACCTGAACTCCACCCCAGGATGTTTGCTTCTGTTGAGAACGAGAGTAACAAATTTCACGAAATTAAAAAAAGACTTTTCTCCAATGATCATTCTGAAGATATGGAATTCATAGCAGATGAGGAATCTTGTCACTTACGTTTTAGACGTAGGCAATTTGTGGTTTGTAGAGGGTTTTCATAGCGATTAGGTGGACCGACAGACTGAGAGGAAAACGTTATTAAGACGGAGTGTGGTAAGGATGTGAGTTGAATTGAGACTAGAACGACGAGGTGAATATAACAAGGGTTAGGAATAATGTCTTTCAACTATAAAAGAAAGACCAGACCTTGGAATATGGTTTAAAAAGACAAACTGGGAAGGCATGCATGAATTAATATTGAACTACAAGATAGAGAGGGAGATAAAGACTGTATAAAATCTTGAGCCATGTCATTCAAAATATTTAATCACTGATCGCAGTTATTAAGTGAAATTAAACATGGCTGTGTCTAGATTTATGAACACGACTCAGACCAATAGTCAATGGATATATAGATGCACGTCACATTTTGGCTTCTCCATTCTAGCTTTCTTCGAACGTACTTCTGAATTAATACAAATAACTCATCGTAGTCGGTGGTTGTAAGGTATACGCAACACATGTCCCAACCACCTCAGTCGATGAAGATTTACAACTTGACCAAACCATTTGTCACCTTTACCAATTACTCCATGAACAATTTTAACACCATTCACTCGGTTAGGTAGGCAATGATCAAAGAATAAATCAAAAACAAGAATTAATGACCAGCTGTTTCGTCTTATTTAACAACTGTCAAGCAATGTGAACCTAGGACTTTTGTTGGAATAATCACATGATTTCTTAACTACTTCGCCTTCATTTGTGTCATGTTTTATTCTCTGCAACTTTTCCTAATGAAACCTTATGTACCAATGTTTTATTTTGTTGTACATGAATAATTTCAACGAAAGGCATTATGTCAACTAATATAATCCAATAGGTTTAATCTCATTGAGGCTCCACCTAAGATGAACATTATAATATATATTTAAATTAGAAATGATGTACTTATTTCAGAAATAAGTAGTTTGTAATAAAAGAAATAAGAAAAATGCATAATGCAGATCTAATTGCATAACTCATTAAATCAGGATAAAACAAGCGACGTTTCACTATACAAAGATAGTAGAAATATATCATAACCCAAATATTGGTTGAAACCGTTAGTTCAAGATGTTAGGAAAAGTTAAAAACTTGAAGTGTTCCATAGTTCTCAAAGAATGTCTCTTCCCAACTGATATATCGTTATAACCATAGGAGTAAATAGCTAGAAATAATCATATTCAATGAAAAAAAAAGAATCTACTTACCAATTAAACGAAGAACTTCTAATGTAGTTGTTGATAAAAGTGGCCCACTATGTTCATTTGAAAATGATGTATCATTAGACTGAAAAGTAAGTTATTAAATATTTCTATTAAGACGACAAAAACACAATTTGATTGAAGAATTTATCATAAGGGGGTTTTGTGGAGATTTTAGTAATTTTATGTAGTTGAAATCATGATTCAATTGAAGGTAGACCACCATGAAAAACCTGGAAGCACTGGACGGCCGTTTACTCTTATTGTGGAACTCCTCAGCAGTGCGCATCCACGACCCCGCCTCACGAGATTCGAACCCAGGACCTACCAGTCTCGCGCCAGAGCACTTAAACGATAGACCACTGAGTCGGCCGGCATCCAGCGGTGTTAATGTCTAACCTCAACCAATCCACGTATTCGATTGAAGAAATTTTTATTGTCAGTTAAATAGCAAAAAATTATGTATACAAATACAAAAGTTTTACAGTTAAGGATAAATAAAATCATTATCGAGTAAATTATGGTTGGTCAATTTAACAATGTTTTCTCCAAGACAGTAGTAATCAGTGAGAAGCTCAATAGATGTGAAATATGTAACAGATATAAATATGAGATTATGTAATCGACCGAATAAAAACATCTGTTACGTAAGAATAAAAATCAAGTTTGATATTGAATAATCGAATAGAAATTTTTAGCGTTACTTATAAATTATTAATATATAATTAGTAAAATTAGTGTAGAGAGAATTAGGTAGATTCAGTCAAATCAGGTTTTTCTTCCTTCAGTCAACCAATAGTGAACTCACTAGATACGAATAAAATATCTAGTTCAGCTGCCTTGTGGAGCTACTTATTATGGACATACAACCAAGCAAACATCATATTTTTCTAAACATTACCAAATATGGTTGATCAAGGGAGAAAATTTAGTGAGAGCGTGAATAGGACTGTCAATAGTAATCATCATTTCATTTATTTGTGTTGAAACACCGACTTCGGTGGCTTGGACATGTTCTACGAATATCGTCCCAGAGAATTCCACTTCGTGCATTATTTGCCGACTCTGGGACTGGTTGGAAAAAGCGGAGGTGGTCAGTGTATGACATGGTGTCGTGCTATGAAAGAAAGCTGCAAAGGACTGGCTTCTGTTAGTCCTTCACGACTCCCTGGTTGGGTTTCAAGAGATGATGCAAAACAGTGGTTAGAGACATCAGATATGGCTCAGAATAGAAGCCAGTGGCGTTCCTGCTGTAACCTTCTTTTACTTTCATCATAAATAGTGGTTATAACTTTTTTAACTGAAAGATTCTTCTGGTTGTACATTGTACATTTAAGTTCCCCCCATCATTACTCTTCTCTTTTTTTCATTCTATTTTTTTCTTTCCCCTTTTTCTTACCATTCTCATTGTTTTTTATGGAGCATATATATCTGATGCCCCTTTGTACCAATATGTATGTGTTTAAATAAATAAATAAGGGAGAAAATGGAACAGTAAGAAGCTCTTTTTTGGCATACATAGTGGATAACGGTCACCATATTGATACGAATTTAGCTTCCAAAGTCATTTATAGAATTTATCTCATATTTCCAGACTTCGTCTTTTACATACATACAACCAAACCCATTATTATATACATCAATAAAACTAGTCTTGCCCCGAATGCCCTAATACGGCCGAGAGTGGGGAGAGTCCGCTGTCCCTCTCCAAATGCTCTCATATGGACACGCGTATATAGCCTATGACAGGGAAGTTCTACTCACTGCCTTCTCGCACCAGAGTGTGTTTACGAAATTGGGAAGACGAAAAGCGAATGACTAACGCTTTAATCGGGTCGGTGGACACAGAAAGTCCACCTAGGGGAGTTGGAAAACCCCGATTCCAAACCAATGATGCACATGGGCTCCAGTATCCTGAGGAAACAAATGGCGTATGAACCAATCCTTGGTCACTGGCTACCATGGGATTACATCTCCTTACGATGCTTCACTGCCTTGTGGACTAGATATTTAGGTCAAAGGCTTCGGGTGTGGCCCCCAAAAAACCCATCTGTTTCGGTTTGGGCAACCGGGCAGTATCACAGCCCTCACACAAATCAAATGAGATTTGTGAGGAGCATATATATCTGGTGCCTTTTTGTACCAATATTTATGTGTTTAAATAATAATAATAATTTAATAAACCTAATCTTTGTACACAGAAAAAGTTTTTTCAGCTTTTTCATTCATCGTCACCTTCTTCTCAGTTACTACATTTTTATCAGAAGGGGTTTTGCGGATATTAAAGTAACTTCAATAGTTGTGATGATGAGTCGGTTGAAGCTAGACCGCCATGGAAAACCTAGAGGTACTGGACGGCCGTGTTGTCCTAATATGGGACTCATGATCTCAACTATTGAAATTACTTTAATATCAACAAAACCCCTTCTGATATTAATTAACAAATGTTCACTAGTGACTGACATCGAGAAGTATTTCCTGGGGTTCTGGTGAAAAGCAGTGACCAGTAGAGTTCAGCCGGGTATGTTGTGAGATAGTAATTCACTGAAAACAATGGTGGATGTGTCGCTTAATTTCGTAAATCGGTTAAAGTTAGACATTAACAGTGTTGGATGCCGGCCGGCTAAGTGGTCAAGAGGTTAGGCGCTTGCGCGCAAGAATGATAGGTTCTGGGTTGGAATCTCGCGAGACAGTATCTTGGATGTGAACTGCTGAGGAGTTCCACAATAGGAGGAAACGGCCATCCAGTGCTTCCAGGTTTTGCATGGTGGTCTAGCTTCAATTGAATCATGATCTCAACTATTAAAATTACTACATTTTTATGTGATATTAATTTTATAACTTCATTTCACGTGATTTACCCGTATTAAGAGTCTGATCGACCACCTACTATCCTCTGTATTAATTTCGTTAATTACACATTTCTAGATTTACGAATAACACTAAACATTTCTATTCGACTATTCAATATCAAACTTGATTTTTATTCTTACGTAACAGATGTTTTTATTCGGTCGATTACATAATCTCATATTTATATCTGTTACATATTTCACATCTATTGAGCTTCTCACTGATTACTACTGTCTTGGAGAAAACATTGTTAAATTGACCAACCATAATTTACTCGATAATGATTTTATTTATCCTTAACTGTAAAACTTTTGTATGTGTATATATCTAAGTGTAGAGTTTTGGGATGAGTATTTAACTGAAGTGAAATCCTTCTTCAATCAAATTGTGTTTTTTACTTAGTAGTTAGTTTATATTTTAATGACAAATAATTTTGATAAAGTACAAAGTAAGAGGAATTCTGACAAAATAATCAATATATTCTTAAATAGTCAAAAGCCTATTGGCTTAAGATGGCGGTTGGAGGTGATCGACAGGAAATCCTGGCTCACAGTTTAGTGTTGTTTGATAACTGTCAGAAAGGTGGACCTGTAATCTTGAAGGGACTGATGATGTCTAGGGGATTCGATCACATGTCACCCAGTTTCACAGTCAACCTAGTGGTTTACTTTTTAACATACTATATGACTTCATCACACGTTATTACCATATTTGTTATCAGGATGGGCAGTTTATCATTGGAGATTTAATTTAACTTAATAGACTGGATTTAACTGTGCTACTACATGATGAATATAAAGCAAGGCTGAAGTTTCAGAACTTTTCTAAGTGGTTATTGTTTAGATGTTTGTTTTACAACTACTAATTAATAGAACCACTGTATCCTTGTATTTCCTTGTTGGTAAGCTTTTCCGTGATGCTGATGTGTGGGCGAGAATGTCAATGATTGGTTGTCTCGATGAGTCAGACATTAGAGGGGATGACAGGTGTTATGTGTTATATATATATTTCCCTATCCTTATTATGTATGAACTTATTGACTGTTCCTTGATGTTGGATACTTATTGATTGACTGTTCTTTGTGTCGGATTTGGTGTGAAATATATTGACGTTATAGTCAGGCTAATCTCGTGTTCTTGATCTGAGTTCTGTTGAAGTCCTGTAGAATAGACACTGAGTGGGAATCTAGTGTAGATTTCGTCTAAGATAAATTAACGTCCCACATACGTGTAAGAAGTAAAAGGACTGTTATAACAAGAACCCCTACTGTTATAACCAGCATCCTCTCTCTCTCTACGTTTATAACAATTAGCGATAGCATACTTACTTTATAACAATTGGCGACGATGATTAAAACGGATCTACGCTTACGTATTCAGTTAAAGTGAATTTTGTATCAAGAAAATGGATGATCTGAAAACCTTATTGCAACAGCAAAATACTCTTATCGAATTATTAGTCAAAAATATGTCGATATCCTCAAGAACTGATGTGTCTAATTCCACTATGACTCCGTATTCTATTGCAAATTCAATAAATGAATTTAGATTTGATCCAGAAAGTGGAGTTACTTTTGAGGCATGGTTTAAACGCCATGAGGATTTATTTATTAATGAATGTAAAGAGTGGGATGAAAGTTCGAAATTGAGATTATTATTACGAAGGCTCGGAGTGTCCGAACATGAAAAATTCTGTAATTTTATCCTCCCAAAGAAGCCATCCGACATAACGTTCAAAGAAACAGTTGAATGCCTGACTCGTATATTTGGTGAACGGTCATCAATTTTTCACACTAGATACCAGTGTCTTCAACTTGTAAAAAAAGTACAGGACGATTACGTGCAAGTATCGTGAACCGGGAATGTGAGCGGTTCCGACTACAGGAAATGTCCTCAGATCAGTTCAAGTGCCTTATTTTTGTATGTGGATTACAATCTTCAGTAGATGCAGATATTAGAGCACGGATTCTAACGAGAATCGAACAAGATCCTAATATCAGTCTACAATCAGTATCTGAAGAGTGTCAAAGAATGATTAATTTGAAGCATGACACGAAACTCGTAGAAAGGAACAGTGAACACGTTGGAGTTAATGCTTTACGTAAATCTTTTAAAGGAAATAAAGATTCGAACTCCCAGAAAATCCCGAATCAAGTGAAACACAAAACGTCATGTTGGCAATGTGGTAAGTGTCATTCTGCCAATGTTTGCTATTTTAAAAAACGAGTATGCTTTCAATGTGGTAAATATGATCATGCTCAAGTATGTTGTAAAAGTAAATCAAAGGTTTCTGACGGTGAGCATAAGTTCCGTAAACGAAATAAGATGCAGACTTCAAAATCAATACCGCATAACTCAAATGTTGTTCTGGCTACAAAAAGTGAGCATTTCTTCTCTAAAAGGAAGTATGTAACCATCTTTTTCGATGGCAAACCGGTCAAACTACAAGTCGATACTGGGTCTGACATAACATTAATTTCTAGAGAAACTTGGATTAAAATTGGTCGACCCCGATATCAACCTACATGTTATAATGCCAAGAGTGCATCAGGAACTAATATTACTCTTCTTGGAGTAATACAGCTACCTCTAACGTTTGGTGAAAAGACTATGACCGGGAAATGTTACGTTTCCGGGAACTGTAATATCAATCTATTAGGTATTGATTGGATTGATATATTTGGTTTGTGGGATTTACCGTTGAATGTGCCGAAAGCAGAATCCCAGTCATGGCCAGAAACGAAAAAGCCTTGGGTCCGACTACATGTTGATTATGCTGGACCGATAAGTGGACAATATTTTTTGGTGGTGGTTGATTCATACTCGAAGTGGCCTGAAATTTATGTGGTACGAAGACCATCTACGTCTGAAACACTGCTACATCTGAGACAACTATTTGGTAGGTTTGGTACACCTAATGTTTTGGTTTCAGATAACGGGACGCAGTTCACGTCGTTAGAGTTTGCGGAGTTCTGTAAACAGAATGGAATCGAACACGTTAGAACTCCACCGTATCACCCTAAGTCGAACGGGCAGGCAGAGAAATTTGTTGATATTCTTAAACGAGCTCTCTTAAAGATGGGAGGAGAAGGCAACGTAGAAGAGGCTCTGCAACAATTTCTCATTTCCTATAGAATTACGCCAAGTCCAAACTGTCAAGATGGGAAATCTCCAGCCGAAATAATGTTTGGCCGACCGATTAGAACATTTTTTGATGTTTTGAACCCGAAAGACAGAATAAGTGGACTACAAAAAAATAACAAAGGGAATTGCCTGAAAATTCGAGAATTCAAAGTAGGTGACTCAGTCTATGCACGGGATTTCCGGCCTGGCAAGCCAAAATGGATATTTGGGTTTATAAAAAAACGACGTGGTACAGTATTATATGAAGTGATGGTCGAAAATACACTAATTATTAGACATGTAAATCAACTGCGAGATAGAAAATGTGTTTATGAGTCATCTAAACTCAAACCATTACCAATGGAAGTATTATGTGATACATTTGATATTCCACCACCACAAGTTGAAATGAGAAAAAATGATCTAGAATCAGAAGTTAGACGAAGGTCATTCAGGAAACGGAAACAAACGAAATTTTTTCAAATAGACTCCAAAGTGAAATCATACGATCGAACTTCGCGAGGGAGGTGATGTGTGGGCGAGAATGTCAATGATTGGTTGTCTCGATGAGTCAGACATTAGAGGGGATGACAGGTGTTATGTGTTATATATATATTTCCCTATCCTTATTATGTATGAACTTATTGACTGTTCCTTGATGTTGGATACTTATTGATTGACTGTTCTTTGTGTCGGATTTGGTGTGAAATATATTGACGTTATAGTCAGGCTAATCTCGTGTTCTTGATCTGAGTTCTGTTGAAGTCCTGTAGAATAGACACTGGGTGGGAATCTAGTGTAGATATTCGTCTAAGATAAATTAACGTCCCACATACGTGTAAGAAGTAAAAGGACTGTTATAACAAGAACCCCTAAAGTTATAACCAGCATCCTCTCTCTCTCTCTACGTTTATAACAATTGGCGACAGCATACTTACGTTTATAACAGATGCATAGACTGTTGTTATGTGTTGTACCATTTTTAAGTCGATATTAATTTATTGATAATCTATTATATAGTTCTCTTTCACTCATAGAGTTGTTGTGCCTATATTGTAATTTCTTAATTATGTTAATATATGGCAAACCTTTCATTCTAGATTATTGTATGAGTTGAGTGATAAATTGAGACTGTATTATTAGTTGTTGTTTGTTTGCTGTGTTGTCTTCTATTCTGACTACTAGGAGAGCGTGGAAGAACCTCATTCTGGACTATCAGTGAATATGTATTGTTCTTGGTTGTTCTCTAATTAGAATCAGCTAATTGGCTAGCTGGACATGGGTATCATGTAGATAATCAAGGTCAAACAATTAATACTTGGATTATACCGTATAAATGCTCTTTTATAATTATGACCCCGTAACATGGACCTCATTCTAAACCAAGCACTTTTTGTCACATAGAACTAAAACATGATATCGGTTCACGAAGTTATTGTTCGACGGTTTGAGATATATTGGCAGATGTAGACTACCTGTTTGGGGACTGAGCAATAGTCGCGATCAGAGTTCGGAGAATTCGAGTAACGTTGCTCAGAACCAGTCACAATTAAGCAGGCATATTCACTCTTTATTTTACTCTACATATTTAGATCCATTACTCTTTTGAATAAGCCTTTCATAATACCTTTCCGGACCATACTCGCAATGTTTTGTTTTCTTCATGACAATTGACACTAAGATTAATTTGACCCCTTTGATATTCACCAAGTTAACTTTATCTTTTCGTGCTTATATAGTACATCAAATTTGACCACTGTACAATTGTGCCAGGCTGTGTTATTACTGAATTAGATACTACGTAAAAACTGTATAGCAACAGACACCTTTCTCATTTAAAAATTGGAATCATTAGCGCGTATCCATGACCCCGATTAGGGTCGAATCCATAACCTAGTAAAGTCGTGGACGAGTACTTCTGAGTCTTATACACGGGGAAAATCGAAACAAATTGTTTATACTAAATATTCAATTTTGTTCTTCATATTTGATCTGTATTCAAGACTTTTAAAAAGAAAAAGCGGGATTAGCGTCATTTAATGACAAAATTCCCTATATCAGCTTTTTATTTTCAAGGAATTTACTTACCATTTGTAGTGTGGCATAGCAGATGTTATTGAATTAAATACACTGTGATGTTCACAAGTTGCATTTTTCGAAAACATCAACTGACTTTATTCTTAGTATAGACTGCTAACAGATATAAAAGCTAAATACTTAGGACAAGTATCTGAATTATTCATAATGACATATTAATAAACTAGGTCACAAGTCATATTTATCTTAGTTATTGAAAATAGTGTACTGTGATTATTTTGAAATCTGGCGTACCGCTCAGATTTGAAAATCCCCTGAATAAAAAATAGAGTGATCATATAAACAAGTTACATTATGCTAAAATAAAACAAATTTGATTCCAAAGGACTTTTCTAAATAATGCTTTATACAGTCCATATATATTCAGAATGTGGTTGTGGAGACTGTTGAATTCCAGTAAAGTTACGAACTAATATATATATATATATATATATATATATATATATATATATATATATATATATATATATATATATATATATATATATATATATAGAGAGAGAGAGAGAGAGAGAGAGAGAGAGAGAAAGGACAATAGAATATATACGATACTTGTCTTATGTAACTTACGAAATCGTTTGGTGAAATGGTAATAAACTTGTCGTTATTATTGATATTACCATGATTATCATGATCATCATGATTATGATCATTATTATTGGAAAAAAACTTTGTATTTGACTGTTGTCTAATATCGGCTGATGCTGACGATGAATTCATTAAATTAGGAGAGTTAATTTCAGTTTGATCAAGATGATTGTTACTATTAACATTATTATTATTACTATTCTCGGGATCCTCAGGGAATTGCACAAACGTATAAGGGAACGCGAATAACTTTTGATTTTGTAGTTTTGAGACACTGAACATGAAAATCAGTTTATTTGAAAAAAGAAATAGAGGAAGATCATAAGTATGATTAGAATTAAATATTAGCCGAAAATTTTAACAATACGTTTAATACAACTGATTTTATGTACATATAAAGAGAGAGGGAGGGAAATTGAAATAATGGGTTTCAATGATTAATTTCACTATGAATTGACAATCATTTGAAATAGTTTACATTACTCTTTGATGTTAGATGGTTGATGTTATGATCTACAGTGTCTGACATATGATCCACAACTCCCTCAACTGACTGACAACGGAGCGAGATGAAAAATGAAGGAGGAATTCTATAAGGTGACCGAGCTACACGCATATATATATATATATATATATATATATATATATATATCCAATATGTCCTTTAGTAAATCTTTGGTTGGCATCAGGTGGCCTTCACAGTTAGCTACTTCTGAGTGACTAACTATATCAGTTGGAGACAGTGGTGGTAGAATACCCTGTATGACTTAGATTATGTACTGGTTGGCACTCACTCGTCAGCAAAAAGTACATGCAATCCCGAGAGAATCGTTCCACCATAGAATGGAGTGACGCAAAACTAGTAGCTGCATTGCAACTTGATCGATATAATCCGATCAGCACATAAAATCGGTTACTGTCAAAAGTCAGTCTCTGATGTAAACTATAAAAGAAGTCATTTGTTACAACGGACAGACAGAAAAGTTATCTATTTTCTGATACTCAATGTCTATGCATGATAAATCACTTTTTGATTGTTAAATAATACATATGTTACAATTGGGATGGCTTTAATTCGATAATAAATGCATTTCACTACTACTTAAGAAGCAGTTCTGTCTTTTGTAATCGATTCCTGGAACTGGTTTTTGGTTGGGCGTATAGATTTTACAACGTTGAATGCCATTCAAGACGTAATAGGCTGCTAGCATGCCACGAATCTTCCAATTCTCGTTCATTTGAAGGAGATTAATCACTAGTTCTAATGAACTGAACGAATATCAAATCAATGATGACAAGACACAAACATGCAAATCAACGAATAACGCCTATAATTTTATTCACGAAATTTATCCCTCATAGGAGGGACATCAAAAATTCAGCCTAAGCCCAAGGACCCGGCTGATGACATCAGTCATTGACTGGTAATTTAGTGTTGGCAATCTCGCACTCAGATAGACTTCATTGTACGAGTCGCTTCCCCACCACAAGGTCGATACGCTATCAATTAGAATTGAAGGCGAATCAAATTAAGTAGACCTAATAAATATTTACCTATTTGCAAATTAGCAATAAATTTCAACCATTTCGACCAAGAAACTAGAAACTATCTATTTGTGCAATAATAATGTGATAAATTTAGATTTGTAGAGAAGAATAAGTTATAATTTAAAAATTAAAAAAGTGAAATTCCAGTATATACTACTTAAATAATTAGATATCAACCATCTATCATGTAATGTAATGGTTGTACTTGATTAGACTCTTTTATTCAAAAAGAAAATTTTGATTGTAAACTTGCAATGAAGGTGATAACTATTATAGGATTTTTGAATAAGTTTACTAATTCAATTAACGTATAATTTATCTACAACATTATGAGACGTATAGATAATTTTAAGAAATAAATGGTACAAACCATGAAGTGATTTTAGCTAGATCGCAGTTTAAAACCTGGAAGCACTAGATAGATGTGCATATTCTAGCATGGAACTTTTCAAGTAATTCTCATTCACAAACCTATCTCTGGGAATCGGACTCAGGACTTTCGGTTTCGCTTACAAAGGTTTGATCTCAAGACCACTGATTCGATATCCAGCGGTGTCTATGTTCAACTTTAATCAACCCATGATCTTGCGCAAACCCTTCTTCATCTATTATCTGTGGTGGATAACGGTCTCACACCGAAACGGATTAAACTCATTTGGTCATGGCTTCTCACTAAAACTCTTAGAATCACATCTTGAAGCTAGTCGCAGGTGAACACATAACTATTATTATTATTATTATTATCATTGGAGATTTGTGGAGATTGCAGTGTTTTCAAAGATGAAATCACTTACTGATTTTAACTTGACCACTACTGGATGCTAGCCCATTGTTCTAGAGGTTGAATGATTGGGCACAGGATTAAAATTCCTGGGTTTGATTCTGACATGTGGGTTCGTGGATGTGAATTGCTGAGAAGTCCCATACTAGGACGAAAAGGACATTCAGTGCTTCCAGGTTTTCATTGGTGGTCTAACTTTGATTAGTTCGTGATTTCTAGTGTTCAAATACTACAATCTCCACTAATCCCCAATACAAATAAACAGTTATTTGTCAGTGTATGAATGTCGCATAAAACACAATTAAGGTGTTGAATACAATAAAACATAACTGAAACACTTCGATTGCTGTTTTTTTCGGCTTAACTAAGGAAACGGAGATGTGTACACCATGAAAGTTATAGACTGACACTCCATTAAATGGTCATGAGTGTTGTATTGTTCGTTCCCTGAAATGAGATTATATTAAACTTTTGGTAAATCTGTTTCCCGATTCGGGTGCGCTGAGTGAAGTTCTATAAGAAAATGATTGGATTGTTAGTTATGTTCTCACTATACACTGCATACTTCCACCGTAAAAATATATATTTGCACATATAGGCACCTGAATAATTAACACACTTAAGACAACAAAACTTCAGTTTAGAAGCTTTAGTGGAGACTGATTTAGTTTTTATGAGTTGTATTCATCAAAGATTGATAATAATTAAGGTATCAATGAAAACCAGGGTGTTCGGTTCAGACATATCAGGATTGATACAGTTGTTCCAGTAGTATTGGATGGTCTTCACATCCTATTGCAAGTTGATTGAAGTTCAAATCGTACTACTAGACAATGACTACCATTTTCTAATGGCTACACGTTTTCCGTTAGATCTGATGTTCTTAAATTCAATCTTTGGTGGGGTCATGAAATTATGGTTTTTGATGTCCTCCGTGTTCTACAATAGCATCTCAACTGACATTAATTTGTGGCAAATACAATAACAACATATATTTTTTTCAAAACAACTTTATGTACACTCACAAAAATCACTTGTTCAGTTCTATCCCATTTAAGCATCAACAGCTAACCTACCACCAGTAAGTGTCATAATCACTTTTATCTTTAGGCAAGAAGAATAATTATAATAATGAAATAAGGAGAAAGGTGAAAATCAATTAATAGACCAAAAATACTTACATTACTGTCGAATTATTATTATTATTATTATTATTATTATTATTGTTATTGCTATCTGAGACTTTGCTCAGCCCATTAACTGTAATGCTTTTATTAACATTACTACTGCTGCTATTATTAGTAATATTGTTATTAGATGTATTAGTTTCAAATAAATCTTTTACTGCTCTAAATTCCTGTAATAAAAGAAAAGAAAATATAACTTCAATAAATATGAGAATGCATAAAGAGAATGATGATATGTCTTGTAATTTGAACGCTTTATTCAGATCCTAAGCTATTCGGATAACCCCAGGGCTAGCACTACTCAGCAACTTGAAGACTAGAGAGAAAACACGAGTAACAGAGAAAACCTTTACTGCAAGGATCATCTTTGTACAGAAAATCGTAGGTATTTATAGATGTTTGCTTAAGTTAAATCAACATCCTAATTCAACCAATCCAATTAACGACATATATTGCTACTGACCAATGGTAGCGTGCCACGTTGGGACTCCAGAATGTTCTGTCGTACTCTGATTGGTTGGGACTCTTTTTGAGCTTCTGGAGGCTCTGTTGGAGTTCGCTAGAAGCCGACTTACCAAATGATAAATAACTATTATTAAATAAGAAATGAAAATGTAGCAAATGTATATTATTCTAAAGGAATAGTCCAGTCTTAACAAAAATTTGATAGGCTAAATTTTCTTAAATTCATATCATGACTTGTCAATCTCATAGAATGAGATGAGAAAATAAAATGGACTGAACAATAAAAAACACACAGGAAATCACATCTTATTACTTGAAGATCCATTACAGTGAATGAATGCTTGACAGGACATATTTTCCAAGTTTCATTTTCTAAAAACATTTTAAGTCGGTCCATATGCTTTCTAAAACAAAAGTAGCAGAATAAATTTGAAAGAAAAAGAAAACAATCAGATATATATCACACAAAGTTTATTCTAATTAGTTACCATGTAAACGACTGTACAAATAGAAGTATTTAAACCAAAGAAAATGCACGTGAAACACTAATGTTTACTTATTTTAAAACAAGTAGCTAATAAATGACCATCTTTGTTTGTGTAGATTGTAGAGATTAGGATAATTTGAAAATGATTTCATTTATTAACTAATGTGAAGTGGAAAATCGCTGGAAACCATAAAGTACTGTACAGCTGATTTATTAATGTTTAAAACTGTTAAGACAGCAGTGTACAAATAACTTCAACATGGTTAGTGGTCGGAAATCAGATTTATAGGCTTCCGATTCAGAGTGTCATCAATGAATCCACTTTAAGTTCAATTGGTATACAAAATTATAGTACATTTGTATATTTCAGAAAAACATGAAATTGTACACAGTCGTAGTGTGAAAGGTCCATATTTTACGGCTAAATAATTGATAAAAAAGATGAAGAAAGTTCGCATAGACTTTTGTAATATCGAATAGTAGTTAGAAAAAACAAATTATACATCACAAAGTGACTTTTGTTAGACTATGATTGAAAATTAACAAGTACTAGACAACCGTCTTGTCCTAGCGTGACACTCCTTAGTAGTACGCACTCATGATCTCATTCAGGACTGATCTTAAGACTTCCAGTCATTGTGGCGAGCGATTAAGTTCAATATAAGCTACTGTAGAGTTCCATATTACAATGAAACAGTTATCCAGTGTTTCTTGGTTTGCATTAACTTTTTTTGACGACAGTTAACCCGTAACATGAAACTTCAAGTCCCACAACTCCCAAAATATCTTATAATAATCAAAGGATATGGCTAGATATCTGTGCATGAAAATTCAAATCAATAATACCAACGAACTGTCCAACAGCTTCATCATAGTAAGTAGATTCTCCACTTAGCCAACAGAATTCATCGTTTATATGTTAGATGGATCATTCTAGTTACATATACATAAGTTGTATGATTTATTTATTATTATCATTATTATTAGTATTACAGAACAGCTCTTTACATGGTATTGGTCTTTACCCATTGTATGGTTAAGTTGATAAAATATCAGGAATGAGTGTAATGGGCTGATGGAACTGTAGACCATAACTATTGATATTAGTTTACACACATTTTATTGCAGGTTTATTTCACATTAACCGAATTCTGTACACCGTCTAGTGGGCAGATGTAGGTGAAATTAGTTGCGAACATTATAACACGTATAATTCATGCTAAAACATAGTCTACTTTAACACTGAGTTTTAGGAAAGCATAAAGCGACCAGATTATCGTGGTAACAGTCTATGAAACCTAAGCAATGCCAGGAAGTTTAAAATTACTGGATAAAAAAAACAAGGGTCAAATATTTTAGAGTACAAAGTTCGAATCGGTTTAACTAAAGCAAGAGGTTATCAACTTATAAGGTGGTACATAAAAATGTATTTTTTTATTCCTTTAATTAGCTAATTTTACTGTCTTATGTGGAAAATTGTAGTCACATTTAATATAACAGTAATTTTTCGAGGGTAATCTATTGCACTCAAATGATGTGTGGTATCAGCTTGATCCGATACAGTACTAATGAGTTAAGTCTTAGTGTTACTATGTTAAAAAATCTCTTTTATTATATCCCATAATATCTAACTCCATGAGAGACACTACCCAACTAATTCAGTTGTAAGTGATGACAGGTTTCAAAAGTTTGTCTCAAAGGTGATGAGATATGTTTTAACATTCTTGTATTTTGCTTGGAATTCAGTAACATTTCTGATTAAATGGTTTCATTGATAGACGCTTTTTCGGCTTTGTACCATAGATGTTTTCATGACCTAACAAATCCGGAAGATAGATATTTACAAAACACTAATCTTAAAGTCGTCGTAACATCACAGATCCTAATAACATAGTAACACATCTGTTTTTTTTTCAGAAACAGAAGTGATGTAATCATTAGTATTTTAAAACAATAAATCATCTAGAAATATTCAAACGATGCATTTATGCTGTTTGGAGACTATAAACAACTTCAGATCTGTAATAAATATGCATGGGACCGAGTATTATTACATTTCAAATTAGCACAGTGATGGATAATAAAAGTAGTTAAGACTATAATAACACTAATGACAACTTAAAAAAAGAACCAAATATACAGAGTATAGGTAAAACAGAACAAATGTAACAGCAACCGAAAGAGCACCGTAACATCAAAATTTAAAACTTAGGTGACAGAATACAAAATTGTTAAATTTATTCTATTTTAATCGGTTTAAAACATTGTTATTTATTTATTTAAACACATATATATTGGTACAAAAGGGCACTAGATACATATGCGCCACACAAAATAATGAAAGTAGGAAGAGAAGGGATGAAAATATAAGGGTGACTGAAATGTACAACCAGAAGACTCTTTCAGTTAAAAAAGTTATAACCACTATTTATGATGAAAGTAAAAGAAGGTTACAGCAGGAACGCCACTGGCTTCTATTCTGAGCCATATCTGATGTCTCTAGCCACTGTGTTGCACCATCTCTCGGACCCCAGCCAGGGAGTCGTGAAGGTCTAACAGAAGCCAGTCCTTTGCAGCTTTCTTTCATAGCACGACACCATGTCATACACTGACCACCTCTCCGCTTTTTCCAACCAGTCCCAGAGTCGGCAAATAATACACGAAGTGGAATTCTCTGGGACGATATTCGTCGAACATGTCCAAGCCACCGAAGTCGGTGTTTCAAGATGGTGACACCAATTGAATTATCGTCTCTGCGCCCGAACACACGATGCCGAACCTCTGCATTACTAACATGGTGTTACCACTGGATGTCAGCAATCCTTCGGAGACAACGATGATCGAACACAGAGAGACGTCTATCATCCTCAACTCGGAGAGGCCAGGTTTCACAAGCATAGAGCAAAACTGCTCTCACCGACGCGTTGTAGATCCGACCTTTTACAGCCAGACTAACATCACGAAGGCGCCAAAGATGGCCCAGATTGGCATAAGCCGATCTGGCTTTCCTTATACGTGCATCAATCTCATCACTCACGCCACCACCAGCACTTATATAGCTACCTAGATAGACGAACTTTTCAAATACTTCAATCTGCTCACCATCCAGGGTGAGTACAGGATGAGAATCCTACCAGTCTTGTAGGAGTACTTTGCACTTGGAGGGTGTAAAGCACATACCGTACCTGCGGACACTGATTAAGTGCGGATTGCATGCCTTGGGCATTATCGCACAGTAAGACAATATCATCCGCATACTGAAGGTCGAGAAGTCGGTCTCCAGGCAACATATCCACACCGCCATTACTTGCATCCATCAGAGCTGTTTCCAGGATGTCGTCGATGGCAAAGTTGAAGAGGAATGGTGAGATCGAGCAACCCTGCCTAACCCCACTGCTCGAATGGAACAAGGAAGAAAGGTGGTTGTATGTCCTCACTCTGACTGAGGTGTTCGTATACAGGGCCTTTAAGATGCTAATGAACTTCTCAGGCACACCCTTCTTCAATAGACAATCCCAGAGAACAGTCCTGTCCAACGAATCGAAGGAAGCCCTGATATCAAGAAACACTACGATTGTTGGCCTGCGATAAGTATGACGGTGTTCTAACATTTGGCGGAGGGTGAAGATGTGATCAATGCATCCTCGACCAGAACGAAAACCAGCCTGCTCCTCGCGAGTCAATCGTTCTCGGGTTTTAAACAACCTACAAAGAATGATAGAAGCCAATAGTTTGGACGCAATCGGAAGTAGACTTATCCCCCGATAGTTGTTACAGGAACAACGTGAACCCTTTTTAAAGATAGGGACGACTATCGACTCATTCCATGATGTTGGAACACTTTCTTGCTCCCAAACCTTCGCAAACAACACCGTCAGTTCCTTAGCCAGAAAGTCACCACCATCTTTAAAAAGAGCCGGAGGTAAGTCATCTGGGCCAGGTGATTTGTAGCGCTTCAAGAGTTGGAGTTCCTTGAGGACTTCCGCCTCGTTTGGTGGATCAGTCGTCACCGGCCATGGGAGGCAGGACAAACTGGTTGATGTTGCCGGAGCAGCAGGCCAGTTGAACTGCTCTTTGAAAAATTCCGCCCATCGTCCAAGACGTCGAGAGATGAAAGTGATTGGCAAAAAACATTGTTAACATAAGCAAAGATGGATGGTGGCTAGCGGTGGGATCCAGAACGCGTGTCACGTCCTATTTGTGACTGGTCAGATAGATGTACCTGCATCCCAGAGTTGATGTTCACTCCGGGATTCTAACACAGTACCGTTCTGTTTGTAATGCTTGTGATTCAAGGATATATTAAGGCAATCCGTACTGGATGAACAAATACCAATAAGAGACTGATCAATTACAGTCCTAAATATCGATGGGAAGGTTCAAACAAACAATGCAGAAATGAATGGTTAACATAGGATTTCTAAACATTAGGTTACCACTATTATCCTGTGGATTATAACAACCAATAAGTCGGTGACCTAGCAACACAGGTCACTTTGACAGTCAATGATATTATCATGAACTGATCTCATGTCCTGCTTCATAGTGTGACCTCGAAATTATTCATTTGATCATCCGATGAAAGTAGTGATAAAACAGAACACTTTATATACACTGAATAGAGGAAAATCGAAAAAACCTCAGGGATGTATTTTGTTTGTGTTAATGATGTCGGGTAACAGATATAATAAAGGTACAAGTATTTATAAACAGTTGTCTACGCAAAATACTTAATATCCATTGGCCGGATACTATCAGCAACAGCGTTTTATGGGAGAGGACGAACCAGCTTCCAGCTCAAGAGAAATTTAGGAAAAGACGTTGGAAGCGGATAGGACATACATTAAGGAAATCACCAATGTGCATCACGACGCAATCCCTAACTTGGAATCCGGAAGGGAAGCGGAAAAGAGGAAGGCCAAAGAACACATTACGCCGGGAAATAGAAGCAGATATGAAAAGGATGAACAGCAACTGGAAAGAACTGGAAAGGAAGGCTCAGGACAAAGTTGGATGGAGAATGCTGGTGAGCGGCCTATGCTCCTCGACGAGGGGTAACAGGCGTAAGTAAGTAAGTAAGTAAGTAGGTAATGTATTTTGTTTGTGTTAATGATATCGAGTAACAGATATAATAAAAAGCTATACAACTTTACCTAGTTTCTATTATTTAGTTATATGGTTAACGAATATTAGTTCTAATTTTTTTGATAACTGTTTGAGTAAAATCAAAACAACCGTATTTGAAAATCACACCCGCATGCTATTTCTTAGTGTATTTAGGTGAATAAAGAGTGTAGACCGAGACAACTTGAGCACATATTTCGAAAAACATTTCAACCAATCACTCTTTTTTCCAACGTTTATAGTCACGCCTTAAAAATTTAACGTTAGGCCTAAAGAAAAGAAAACTATGATTATTTTAATATCAGTCGTTTCAGCGATAATTACCTATATTCGTCACAATAAGTTAAAATAATTGAGCTAATGCAAGCTCAGATTCAGCTTAGAAATGTAGTCACAACCATGGAAGATTTATTCCTACCTATGCTGTTTGCTGTAGCATTCCAGAAGCTGGAATAGTATTCAGAAAACTTAAAACAGCAGTTTATTGTCATTTCTTTGCTTGTAATCTGCATTTCCATAGAAATTAAAAATCATATGTAAAGAGTTTTTATATGGAAGCAGTGGTCAAATAGTACCATGGATAACGGAAGATCATATTCAAAAATCGAAGATAGGTTGATGAAACAATTATCCCCTTAAAATTTATAAACAGTAGTCAAGTATTTATGTACCTAACGTTTAACTATAATGGTTAACTACACAAAAACAATGCAGATAACATGATATCTCGTCAATTTAAAGATAAATAAAAAGACCATAGCACACTATACATTTCCATTGTTTTAAGTATAATAATAAATAATGACAATCGTTGTTATGGTAATAAACAGCGAGCACATGCAAACAAGCTAATCGACTATATACATTCTCTCTTTCTTTCTCTTACACACACATACATACACAACCTTGAATAATAAGGAGAGGTGGCATGCGAATAAACTTAACCATTTGTTCTTGAACATATGTGAGCAGATACATGAAAAGTGAAACCGGAGCGAGAAAAGAAAACACAGAAAGAAAATTGTTTAACAGATTAGTAATTAATAAACATTTCTGCACTACAGAATTACAGCGACAAATAGTTAAATCTACGTAACAAACCAATATAATAAATCAAAACTATTCTATCTTTTATATATTTACTGTATTCTATGCTAAAATACGAATGTTATATACATGTATATTGATTCATTGATGAACAGGTCAAAACATGAAATAAACTGATCAGACAAGAATATGGACAACATGAAAAGCACAGTAACATTTAAATGTTCCAAGCTCTAGCGACCAACTAACTAACATTGTAAGTAAAGATGGATAGTGGCTAGCAGTGGAGTACAGGACGAGCGTCACTTCGTCCTATTTGGGACTCGTCAGCTGGATGTATCTGCATCTCAGAGTAGATGTTCACTCTGGGACTCGAACCTAGTACCTTTCGCTTCAAACGCCATCGCGTTATCCACTCGGCCACCATGCTTACAGTGCTTGTGAATTAAGGCTATATCGAGGCAATACGCACAGTATGCACATATGCCAATTAGAGACTGACCAGTTGCAGTCCTAACACATCGATAGGAAGATTCAAACAAACAATACTAAATGAATTTAACTAACTAACAGATTATTTTCATTGACCATTTAACCAATTGGTGTTTATTATTATGATTAGGATTGTTTTTAATCGCATAAAAACTGATGAGGTTATCTAGTTATGACTTTGAAATAAATCCAATACATTTTATTCATTTACAAGAGTGAAACGTTTGAGTAGATAATCTTGATATTTGAAGTTTGGTAGGGTTTCTTTCGAAATAGTGACTTGTCAGTCCGCAACGTTTTCTATATTTAATAGGTATATTGAATTCGAAATATTCGACCATTTTTAAAATCATTCGGTGGATGAGTGTCTCATATTAGATTGTAATTTTTATTGGGAGTTTCATTTTAAGTCTTTAATTACACTATACTTGTGATCATTTAATACATTAGGCTGTGCTATACTACTATGTCAGTTACGGTCGATTCTAGAGTCTTAAAGTGAAATCTTCAGTGAAAACTAAAGTCTAATTTGAAGTATTCTTTCACAAATCAAGGGGAAAAGACCCAAATGTGTATGATATGTCACGTTTATAGAACACTGAAAATATCATGGATAACTTTGCCATTTAAATATCTTCATATTTTGAAAATTGTTGGTAAAAAAAGATGAATACTAACTGATCACTAATTTTGATTAGATAATTTTAAGTTGGAAGAACTAAGTAACACTAAATAGCCATCGCAATCATAGTATGAGACGCCTGAGTAGTAGGCATCTACGACCCAAGACCTTCGATTTCGTACGCAAACACAACCCCCAGACCATTGGACCAGGTATATAATGGTATGTACATCTAACTTAGGCTAATTCACAAAATTGTGCGGCCATCTTCAATTGTTTGCGGTTTTTATTACTTGTGATGTAATCTATACACATTTAACCAACTCCAAAAACCGCTATTCCAGAAATGGATAGTTAATAATAAACATCATTTAAAAAAGAATATTTATTTACCGATGAAAGTCTTTAAAATATTTTTGAATTGAAATTCGTAAAGCTTCCAGTAGTTCATTCGGTGAACATTCACAAAATTCTTCACCTATATGTACAAAACTGAACAAAGAGATAATGGAGGTTTTTACTGATAAATAAAAGGAAACAAAGAAACATGATGAAACTTATGGGAAATCATATCATGAGAATTTACAGCTCCGATGGATAATTTTGGTAAAACGCTGAATCCTCTGAACTGGATGGATAAGACAAGCTATGAATCATATATATGTAGAAGAATAGCTTACCTCAACCTAAATTTTGTCCTGATCTTGTTTTTTTTATAAAAAGAAAAAATAAAAATTTTGTAATTAAAACATCCAGATTAAAGAACAAAACTCCACCAATAAAAATCATTGAATCGATATTGCAAACAATATGATAAGGGATTGCATAGTATAGATGATGAAATTAAAAGATTTGTTCATCCACTAGAGCGGTGAATCAACAGTTAGGACGTTAATCTTTCGATTATTAAGTCACGGATCTGAACCATGACCCATCTTTTGAAGTTTGAGCAATCGGGTAGTATTACTAGACTTCAAACTTAGTGTGTGACTTGAAGTCAAGTACACCAATCTACACTCCATTTATGAGTTAGTCATAATTACATTGACAGAATTGAAGTAGTCTAACATAAGCGTGTTATATCCTAGTGAAGATTAAAGTACGGGTAACTTCCGGGATCTATTAATAGACTATTATTCGATATATATTCTTATTGTATAACTATTCGGTAATTAGATTTAATGAATATACACATTCATTTTATTATAAGCTTCATTTCACCCTATAGAATATTATTATACGATTTACTGTTCCTGAATTATATTCAGATTATTGATTACTGTCTCCCACGTCCAAAGTCACATTTTGGCTTGATTATGTACAAATGTTATTTCCTATTTTATGGTTCATTGCGCTCTGTTTGTCTGGTATATAAACCAAGTATGCTTGAAATAAATGATGCGCATAACAGGAGCTGTTATTGGTGTTCTGGACTCAACTGGAAGGAGTAGGTGAACAGAGGACCAACAAGGAAGCTAGGGCTGTTCATAACGGTCAAACGCCATTGGTTTGGCACAGTGCTAAGACTTAATAGTTCGCATTTCGATTGGTGAATAGACAACGTGATAAAAAGACGGGCTTGAATCAACAACAAAGCATATTACACTTTTTTGATGCAATCAATTCACACAATTTATATTATATCAGTAGTAGTAATAGATTTTCAATTGCTAGTTTTATTAACGTGAATTTTTATAGATCCATATTTAGATAAACTAGTGAATGGCTTTGACATAATACGTGATGTTTTTCAGCCAAAACTTGATACATCTAATTTGAACTTAGACAACCAATGATGAATTAAATTCGTAATGTTCTTCTAGTGGTTATTTAAATAGGTAGCAGTACAGTAGACGAAACATTATAGGTCAGAGCCTTTGACCTTAAGATCTGATCCATAAGGCAGTTGAGCATCATGAGGAGATGAAGTCACATGGTAAGCGGTGACGAACGATTGATTCATAAGCCATTTGTTCCCTCAGGATACTGGGGCCCATGTGTATCAATGGTTAGGGATAGGGGTTTTCCAACTAACCCTAGGTGGACTCGCAGTGTCCACCAACCCGGTTGAAATGCAGGACATTGGCTTTTCGTCCTCTCAATTTATTAAACAACAGTAATGCCACGAGAAGGCAGTGAGTAGGACTACCCTGACAGAGGCTATATACGCGTGGTCATGTGAGAGCATTTGGAGAGGGAGAGCGGACTTTCCCCACTCTTGACCGTACCAGGGCATTTGGGGGCTTCTTGTACCTAAGCATTTGGTTTTACAGTTCTGTTTTACCAACAAGCTTTCGTTTAACCTAGTATCTACTGTTATACGGCTTACTATTCCAAACTTGTTACCAGTATTTTATTTACAGCTTTCCCTATTTACAGACACTGTTGGCTCATTTATTTATGATTGTCATTTTTCGTTTTATTGCGTGATGCGGTCCAGGATGTTTGTAAATAAACCACGTCTGTTTTGAAATAAAATCAAAGTAGAGACTGGTTGCTGATTTCTGAACGGAAGGGAAAGGCATAGAAAGAAGATTGCGAATAACAGACCAATAGGAACATAGCTAAGCATCATAAATAATGGCCATAATAGATCCATTCATATTCTTAAACTACATCTTTAGCCTCAGTATTCATAAATAATTATTTATTGACTTCTTCATCGCAAACCATATTTTGTCTTTCGTATTATGATTGGTAGTAGGATCATTTTGACTTTATTACAATTCAACTTGTTGACTTTATCTCGATATACTAACAATGTGTGACATCCTGAGATGACAACTGATCTTATGGAAGTTCTTCATGATTATATATATATATATATATATATATATATATATATATATATATATATATATATATATATAGTATATGAATAGTAACGCCTTTTATTTACAAATAAGAATAGCGTATTGGAAATCATGAATTTTATTGACGTAAACTAGTTAGTGACCACATATGATCATACATTGAAAAATATTCATTAATAGATTCATGTAAATAAAGGTGGAAAGTAAATTGAAACGATTTTTCTAGCTTTGGAGGAGATTTAAACAAAAATTACTGAATTTTACATTTTTATTTTCTTTATCGAATAAATTAGTGTTTTTGTCTATTAATAGATTTTAGCAAATATATATATATATACGCATTGTAATTGTTACTGTTTAGGTTCAGGGTACACAGATATAAAAGATAATGGTTGGAAGTGGTCAATAGGAAACCCTGGACCCGAGTTTCGTGCTACTTGGCACTCGTCAGCAAGGTGTACCTGTAATCTTGAGGGAACTGGTGCTCTCTGACGGATTAAATCCCGTGTCACTAAGCTTCACAGTCAGAGACGTTAACACTGAGCTATTCGGGCTGCAACCAACCTCCTGTAGGACTGAGATCAGCACTAAGAAGGACTTAACACGTATGACATTGATCACCACCCAGTGATCAATCAATTGTGACACAGATATATGTATGCATTTGTGTACAAAGGAATATAACTATTTTCCCGTTTACATCTCATCAAAATTAATCTTTCTATAGCTTAAAGTGCGATTATAGTAAACAAAAGTCAAGAACGTTGAGTGACATGGCTCAAATTCAATTGAAACGATATAGATGCATTCACTGTTTGTCGTCTCTTAGAACATAAATTTGGGAATAATTTCATACCTTTTAATCTATTAATTCATACTGTCTACCAGAATTATGTTTCCTAATCGTAAAATCTTATATTACTACCAAAACTGTTGTTACTTTGACTATTTTGACATTTGTCTTAATAATTTCGTGAGAAACATATATCTCACCATTACTAAGTCAATAGTAATGACCTAATTCAAAGATAATTATTGACTGATGTTCACTGAATAACAGGAAATTCTGGAAGAATAATTAAAAAGTACTTTAATAGGTGAGATTTCAAGTCGATACCTTGTATAAAATCGTGGATATTTCAGTAATTAGAATAAGTCTTCAATAAAGGTAAAACCATTGTCTGTCTAATTATTCCTCGTTTTGACTAATTTGTTATATCGATGTCTTAGTCTAGGATGAAATCTGTCTTAAAATTGAACAACTCTCAATGAAACATTTATCTAAAATAATGAGGTAATTAGTAAAAATTGTGTAATCCATATCCTTTATATCGAAGGGGAATAAATTGAACTCCTTGGTAATTGGTTACACATTAAGGTGTAAAACAATGAATCATGTCCATGAAGGGAAAAGATCGACCATTCGGAATTGCTGAAAGTATTATCGAAAATCAGATTAATAATTGTTACTTTTTAGTTCATCAATGATGGTTACCTAATTCAAGGATATGTTAACTAGATCTATCGCTTCAACCTGTACTGATCAATTCGGTTGTTCGCGTAAAGATAGTCGTATCGAACTTAGTGAGCACTTACAGCGTTGTTTGAAAGGGGTCAAATAAAGTCAATATTTCGTTTTGTTTTATCTCACTTGATTGTTAGTGGTCATATGTACTAGATCAAACTAAGGTGTCCAAAGATATTTTCTGAATACTCTCACACTCAACCAGTGGGATGAGGTCACATTGTTTATATATACGGAAAGCCATAAGGATTAGAGTCAGCAATCCCAGTTAAGGCTAAAATAAATTTGTAATATCTCGATCATGATCATTCTCTTGTCTTTCTTCGCTTCTTCCAAATAATCTCTTTACTATATGCATACTTAAATTGATTATTCAAAACCATTTCATAATAACTATTTATAATGATTATCTAATGAATTTTATTTCTTCAAGTGTTAGTTATCTTACTAACAATTTGTTGTTGTTTTTTTTCATTGAAATCATGAACCGATCAATGTTAGACCACCAGTAAAAACCTGGAGCACTGGACGGTCATTAGTACTAGTATGGTCCTATCAGAAGTCTACAACCTCAACCTCACACACGGGATTTAATTAGGCAACCTACAACACTATCATTTATTCGTAGATTGTCTTGATTGGTTTACAAATTTTTATGTTACTGTGGTTTAGAGTAAAGCCCTATGAACAGTTAATTGAAAACAATACTGTTAGTTTACATGTTTTTTTTTTAATTATTAGTTAATAATACAAAGAACAATAGTTTCGTTGATTGAGTTTAGCGGAGACTGATTTGACTTGTAGATTGTATTCAATACAAGTTGGTGACAGTTGGCGAGTCTTTGAGAATGACGGATTGGACAGCTATTTCAGCCTAATATGGGTCTCCTCTAGAGCTCATACTCATTACTTCACCACATACGAACGCTTAAGTCTTAGAAACATCGTGCAGGCGTCCAAATAAATAATTACAACTTCAAACAATCTGCCATATTGGATGACGACCATTTGATATCATTGGTGACAAGTGTTTCACTTCAGAAATGCTTGAGGTTCGCCGGTCATAACTTCTTATTTAGAACTTAAGGAACATCCTAAAATAAGTTTCTGGAGAAATCATAAACGAGTGTACACTGTTGGGGACTTTTATAGGAGAACAAAACTACTGTTTAATGCCCCTTGGTTTCCAACAGTATTTTATCAGCTGAGATTAAGCTGTGACGAATAAGATCTACAAAATGTAAACAATATTATTTGCTAGCAAACATACAATTCTTTAACATGAACACTAACAACAACAAAGATGTTATTCAATCGAAACTTACTGATTAATAGTAGATAATAATGAAGCAATCTGATCAAATGTCATATCTCTGGCAAGTTGACTAACAACATCTAAAATTGGTTCAATACGCGAAATGATTTCTGACCATATACGTGACCGACCAGAATCTAATTTACACGTGACATAATCATGCCATTGTCTGGCCAACTGTGGATCACAACCATGATCACTATTTATGTTAACGGATGACTTCGTCACTGTACTACTGTCTTGATCAATTTCAGTAGTGACAACAATATCATCACGATCATTATTGTCAACTTTTAATTTCGGTTTATGGTATTTGGAATTATTAAGTAGAGAATTTGAAGTGAACGATTTATGTTTAGTGTGACTAGATGCAGAGGGATATGTTTCGGATGACTACAAAAAGAAAAAAGAAGTGAGGATAAAATTAAAAAAATAATTTGTGAATAGTGGTGAAGGTATGTATTGGTTTTGTTTTCTAGAGTTTATGATTTCAGAAATACACACAATATCAAAACATGCAAACACTGAACACAGTCGTTTCATTTCAAACATTTCAGACTCAACATTAGTACTATGCATTTACGAACCAACACGGGAGTATGTTATTGTTCTACGGCTACTTCGTACATTTCCTATGATATACCAAACCTACCATACAGATGAGAAGATTGAAATTTGTAAGAAGATATAAATACCAAACTGAATTACAACATCCATAAATCATGTGTACAAGTGATTATCTTTCGATTCAAACAAGGATATGTAGACTTAGACTTAGAGTAAGTATATAATCAAATCTTTCTAGTAGTATGTCTCGTTTACAATTTTACCCTAACGATTTAACGTGGAAACGATGTGTAGGAAGTTTATTCCCCAAATCAGTGTCAAAATATAGTACAGAAGTCTCGTGTATATATAGTTTTTCGACTGAGAGTAAATCATCATTTAAGACAACCAATAGGCGAATAGGGGTCATTCTTATCCATCCAATGGGGAAGCTACACGTTGACATTCTAGAATATTCCCCTAGCAGTGATTGGATGGAATGTCTGCGGTTCTTCCTGGGCTTCTTAAGGCTTCCTAGAGTTTACCGACGAGCCGTCCTTACAATGTCTATACTCGATCAGCATATTAGACTGAACTTATATCTCGTGGCAACCGCTAGGCTAAAATACAATGTGATCTATATTTTCAAATTCAGTTAAAACATATAATCTGATTATTATTCAATGTCACTGATGATCTATTACCTCACTTTTGACATGGTTAAACTATACTACTAGGGATCCTTTTTTTTACTATTCAGTCATGACACAAGTTGATTCAGTAAATTGTGGGGACATAAAACTTGCAGACTTTTCTTTGAAAAACTAAAAAGAATTGAAATAATGAGCACTTTTAGTTAAAGTAGGTTTGCTTTCTTCGAAAATTAACTCATTATCTTGCTAATAGAAATAAATAACTATTTACAGTAAAATATACAGAAATACTACTTAATTTACTGAAAAAATAATACTAAAACAAACTTTTATATAAGTAGGAAAAAACGTACACTTTTGCCAGACGCTCGATTTTTATGCCATTGAATTGTACGATGATAACATAATAGAATTTCCCACATATTTTGACAAATCGATCTCAAACACCGTAATAAAGTCCAATGTGGAAGTTGCTATGAACAATAATATGAACAGGATAAAGAGAATACATATTTAATGAAACGCGTCAATACTAAGGAGCAGCTGTTTAGAGTTAATTAAAACTTACATGAACTTGGTGAATTTTAAGACTGAGATAGCATTAGTGGTTATATTGCAACTTGACTGACAAAATTGATTAAGCATTAATTAAAGAGGATTAGACAAATATAGCATAGATTATCCACTACTTACTGATAAATTATTTCGATAGTTGAGTCCGAAAGTCGATTTAAGCTAGGCCACCATTAAAAGCCTGGAAGCACTGAATGTCCGTTTCGTCCCAGCATGGGACTCCTCAGCAGTGTGCATCCACGACCCCTCACGCGAAACTGGAATCCAAGACCTTCAGTTTTGGGCGCGAACTCTCAACATTTAAACTACTGAGCCGGTATCCAAAGGTATTAATGTCTAACCCTAATAGTAGATCGGCTCGTGGATTCAACTATTAAACATACTACAATCTCCACAAATTCCTATTCTGATTAGTTTATTGTAAATATCTTTCCTACAGGAGGTCAATTGTGGCTCAATTTGTTTATTGGCAAAGTCTTTGATCTTAGTGTCAAGTGCCGTACGTCAAAATCCACTAGGGAGTATCAGTTCCCACAAGATTGAAGGTTGATCGTTAATAGTAAGTATTAACTGACAAGAAATTTCGGCCGAAGGTTCCCTGAAGACTATCTTCAATCACCAAACAGCATTAGTAGTCACATAATCGAAAGTTGGATTTAAATTTATTTATACACAATGAGTTGTAATAAACCATTATAACAATGTGTATATGTACAAACACATTCGTACTATCTCATATATACTTACCTAATAACTTCTTACTTACTGAGTTGCAGATATATACTACTTATTTTATTGTATCATAGTCTAATCGAATTTTATCAAATATATAAACTTACAGTAACATGTAAACCAATTGCTTAAAATCATGTAAGTCTAAAAAATAAACTTGTTCATCTACAAGGGTTGACCAGTTGAGCTGTTAAACAATGTTAAGTGACCATTCAAAGTTAACAATAATAAAGGAAATTTGTAGTTCAAATGGATGTAGCTTTTATTGGTGTTGTAGTGTTCCATGAATTGCAAACTGTATAATTACGATGTTTTCAGACAATATGAATAGTATACTTTATCCTTGATATTATTCAAACACTTCACTTCTACCCGAAGTTTGTGCTGATGATGTCGTTCAGAAGGACAATGAAAGCTCCACGACCAAACCATCCAGCTAAAAGAACAAACCTACATCAAAATCATCCACCTGAGTTACAAATATTCTCCACCATTATTAAAATTCATTTGTTAATATTACAATTTCAAAAGAGTATTTTGTTAAATTCGTTAAATAAATACCATAATAACTTTTAAAATGTTAAATGACTGACTACTCTTTATCCTTACAAAAAAATACAGTTGAAAAAAATACTTTTTTATGTGATAAAAAGTATGTCAATACTGACCACTCACTTGACACAATTCCGGATAAGAATAATTAGTAATTATCTTATTACCAGATGTATCTGGCTGAGATGCTGAATGTACATGAAATTGAACTAGATAGAATGATTTACGTTGTATGGCTGCTACATAATGCATTTGTAATTGAGCAAATGTTGTCTGAGTACTTCCTAGTAATCTGTATATTTGTAAAAATAACAATATAAAATGATTGGCATTAGCTATGTACTTCAAACCATGAAAAGAATGTTATCCTTTAATGGTGCTGTGATCTAACTCCAATTAGATCGGACGACGATGTTATCGCTATACACATTCCAGCTGCCCTCGCATATTGTTATCGACATAAATCGCGTTAGTGAATAACAAAATAAGTCAAATACGAGAATCAAGTTCGAAAATGTATGTTTCGTACACTCATTGAACTGAACAGACAATCAGAGAAACGATGTGACGCGCAGCGGCGAAGGAGAGTGAACCAACTCCATTTGACCAAAAGTAACTCAATAAATTAGACACGTGATGAACAAGGTGAACAATTAACACACATACGATCATATCAAAACAATCAGGGCTAATAAGCGAATAGGTGATATGGTAAAAATGCGACTTGAGAAGAATGAATAAATTGGTCTGTTCAGAAGCTAGAATAACCTATGTGGGTTTAACATAGTAACAGCCTTTACAATCCTGTTCTGAGAATTTTGAGTTCTAGATGTCGAGTTAGTTAACCATTAAACCATGATTACTAAAAACAGCTAATTCTCTCCTGATGCTTAAAGCACAAAGTTATGAAGACATTAGGAGCGTGATTATAATTTTAAAAACACTGCGGTTAAAATCACTATCAGTTTCATTGAACAATCAGTGTACGCACAAAAGTCTAATCCTAATCTATATATATATATATATATATATATATATATATATATATATATATATATCATCATTAAGCAAAACAATGGGTGGCAAAATCATACACGAGGCAAGCTATTCAAAGAACTCGAATATGTGTATAGTCAAGGTGTTATCTATATGTCCTTGTCTGAATTGAAAGGAAAAATGTTTATATACCCACGATTTGTATACTCAATTATTTAGTTAGTCAATTAGAGCTTCTTAGTTATGTCTCATTCTTTTCACTTGCGTCGGTGGTAGGGCAAGTGAACATGTAGCGTACCTAACTGAATCGGACGATCATGGGATGGAACATTGTCTGCAATCTTGAAGCAACCCAATATTACAATGATCAGTACGGAAGATTTTGAGTAGTAACTGACATTTTCGTAAGACTGACATATTTACACTGGCAGATCACGGAGTGAGGAGCAACCAATTTGTTTCAATATTCTCTCTGAATCTTAAAGGAGTTCAGTGCCACGATGCAAAATAGTGTTGTTGTAATGTGTTTCTTTAATACTGAAAGTACAAGTATACATGACTTACTCAAATGCACGCTGAACAGTTGAATATGATTTCTCGTCAAAATGTTCACAGCTTCTTTGTAATTCTGAATCTAATTTCTCATCAATACGTAATTCTGATGCTTTCAACTTGCTATGAATGGATCTTTGAGAAACAGCGAAAACAACAAAAGACGGTGATAAATACAAGGAAATTAAGGTTTGTGGAAATGAAGCTTAATATTTAATCAAGTATTAGATATTGGTATAACGGCAGAATAAGATTATCTACGTTTGTCAATGTTTATTACTATTATACGATAACACGACAGGTGACCGAGATAGGAATATTACTAAATACTAAATACTCGATCGATATGCTAGACATAGATAGGGTCACGTTACAACTGCTGTACGATTTACCACCGGAATAAGAGAATCAGAGTAAAGATGGAACAATAATTTATTCAACACAACTACAAGCAGTCTACGCTCAGTGAGTTCAGAGTAGAAATCACACATTAAAAAGCCAGTGAGTTGAGTGTCTATTAGTTTAAGCTTACTGACTAATCACATCCCAATTGCACTAAATATATATCAGGAATACAAAACTAACGATATAATCTGTATACATATTAGAGATTAAATTTCGAGAACTATTTGTATGGCACATATAACAAAATATTAATTATTTTTAAATACATGTTGTTCATTATTTGACAAACTTGATATAACGGTGAACTCTTGGGCAGAAACATTCCGTTTGATCAAAAAGACCTTGGTCTTATTACCACTTAACAAGAATTAAATTGAGATAGTAGATGGAATGTGTATAGCTATTTGGTACATTAATGGAAATTTATATCATTATTTGAAAGGATAATCTAATTCTTAATATTTAGAACTGCACTGAACTAGTCTTTGTTAATGTATGGAATGTCCAAAAGTGATGTCTTGTTAGTTATGGATGATATAGATGGAATACATAAAACTTTGGGGGCTATTTTACGGAGGATTATATATCTATGTTTACTGAATATATTTTTATATTGACCTAATTGTAAGCTTTTATTTGACTCAATAACTATTGATGTATGTCATACCTCCCATCAATTAAATTCAATTGTTTATCCACCTATTACTCAGTTTTCCACTACAAATCGTCTAACTATTTACAGATTGTCCTTTGTTATTATCAATTAATTCTGATCATGTAATCCAAAGTGAATCGACTGGGTTTTATGGTTTTCTAAATGTGCACGTTGAGGACAGAAGTCCCGCCGGCCGGTCAGCGTCAGTATACTTAATCGACAAGACAGGTACAGAGAAGGTCATTAGTGTTTCTCGATATAAACGGATTTGTCAATACTGGAGTCGATAAATAAGTGATTCTAATAAGTGACTATATAGAAGTGAGAAATCCTCCTCAATATATTAACGGCCAAAAATTCTCATTACATTCTTCAATAATGGCTAGCGGAATATTCAAATCCTGAAGTGCAAATAGGTGTAGCTGATGAGACCAAAAAAGGACGAAATGCCTAACTGGATTTTCACTCTTAGCCATTACCCAAAAATCTAAATCTAAACCATTGAATAATGGAATTTGAATTATTTGATGATATATAAGTGATTCAGTTTAGACATATTATGCAACAATACACTATTTGGCGGTATTTATGAAGTGTACTGCCTTGACAATTAAGTTAATACTAATGTGATAAAAACTATTTGCAGTGAAGTTAGACCAATTTTTATTTATTTATGTCCACAACAACACATCATACATGAAATACAAAGTTCCATTCTATATTTACATAGATTTGCTTTTTATTTAGAAAACAAAATTTTTCAAACCATTTTCATAATAAGAGGCTTTGTGAATTTTACCAGATTTAAAAAGGTTCTCTTTTATACTAGAGCGAGATATGGAACAATCACTAAAACCATAGGAAAATGGATAACTTTTTTATTACACTTTGGATTTCCAAATGAACAGACGTCATTAAATTGTACCAGGGCTATGAACCTTGTGTTGAATAATTTACTTCTTATAAAATGAGAATTCAATCGTGAACTAGTTTCAAAATTCACTATATTCAAATTAAAGGAGTGCTTAGCTCTCTACAGTACAAGGTCAATCGAACTACAACCACACGTCTCAAGTCAAATAAGTAATATATTGTTGTATATGTTGGTATTTCAGTAAGAATAAAATATATCTTATCCAGCATTCTCTAAATTCAACTAGTTCTTCAACGCACTCTAGTCACTACAAACTGAGCAGAACTCAAATATAGGAAACATTCATGATTTTATACATAAACATTGTGAAAAATCGAATTCTACAACTTACTCAATACACCGGTATGAACGGAAATCTTCTAAAAGCACTAGACTTTCACGATGTAGTTGAATAGCATCATAAAAGTCACCTTGCTATAAAAAAACAATTAGAACAAATGAGTTTTTAAGGAAAATGGCTTATAGCTTCATTATAAGTTTGGGACTCTTAAATATTACATGCTATCGACCCCACCAGAAATCGAAGTCCAAAACTATCAGGGGCCACAACAATTATTTTATATGTGAACCATGGAGTTCATGATTTGATCTTATTTTATGAGACCTCTGGTATGCACTGTCGAAAATTCCTACACCAGAGCAATACAGTTGTTCACTGCTGCTTGGTTATCGGTGATTCAACATCTAAAGATAAACGATGTAAATCTAAAAAAGCGACCGATCCTAAAATGTATAATCGTTTCCGATCAAAATAACTATTAAATTGTATAAGGTTAAATGGTATTTTACTGATTAAATAATGGAAGTTAACTGACTAAAAAAACTTCAATGAATCAAATGCAGCTCATCACAATGACCTATTTCTCTAACTAAAACTACTTTCAAGAGTTTCGCAACATGATAAAACAAACATCTATGCAACTGTTATTGATATTACGAACCTACCTAAGTTAGATATACAACGAAAACCAAGAAGCACTGAATATCTGTATGAGACGTTTCCGAAGTGCGCGACCAAGACCGCATTGGGGGCCAAACTCAGGACCTTCAGTCTCGCTCTTGAACGGTTAACTACTAGAACACTGAGTTGATGTCTAACAGCGTTAACGTCTAACCTCACTCAATTCATGGTATTGCGCGACCATCGTCTATTGCTTTCGGTAGGTGACTGCCTCTTACCCGGTAGGTTTAAGCTATTACAGAGTTGAATACTAGGACGAGCCAATTATTCAGAGCTACCTGGTTTGCAATGGAAGTCTAACTTAGGTTGGTTCGCAATATCAACAACATTTAGTGATCTCTACAAAAGTTCTATACTGATACATAAAATTAATTCCTCCTTTCATACCAAGGACGTCACATCAAATCTATTAAATACTTTATGAATGAACAGAAATGTTTTCCAATAATGTTAAATTCTAAAAATAAGATAAGCTTTCCTATCAGATGGATATAATTTCTTCTACAGAAAACAAGGTTTTGAAAATAAGGACCAACTACCGGTTGGACTTGAGCATCCAATGCTTGTAATAACAATTTTAATTGATCATGTAGACACTCTTATTAATTCATGACTTTTGAATTTTAGGTAAATTTAAGAGTGCTGTAATACGAATAAACTTTTATTTTAAGACTAATTTAGGCAAACAAAATGTATGAGCCGAACAGGTCATTGGAGTTTTGGGAACTGTCTTAACAACGTGATAATTGAAAACCGGAAAACCGATGAAACTTCCAAAATGACCGCAGAAGATTTATTACATTATTTAAATAAGTGGATAGTTGTAGTAACGACAAACCATTATAACCAGTGAATCGGAAGGTGTAAGGATACAAAGCACTGTCTCAGTTAGATATATTTTGTGAAATCTTCTGATCTACCATAACAATAAGTCAATTGCTCAAAAGACTCATACACTTAGAAATCTAAAGTGTTAATTACAAGTTATTAAGATAAATCCTTCAATATTAGGTCACGTAAACAATTATGACCATGAATTCGACAGACTGATCAACAACTGAGATTAAAATCTAAATGAAATAACATGTATGATAAGTTTGCTACTGGGATGCTTATCACTGTCTCTCCTTGCCGATCTCTATAACCAAAGACTACTTCCAAACGTCAACTAAGACAAGAGAGAAAAGGCGAGAAGAGTAAGACCTTTACTTTGAGATTGATGTGAGAACAGAGAATTAAGGATATTTATAGAGTTGTATGACATTGGTCTTCTGGAACGTCCTAGAGACATACTTAATATGGTAACGGTATGGATAATCAACTAATCAGAAATGTGGCAGGTGATTCTTCATTTTTCCAGATATTTCTGAGAAGCTCCTATTCAATGCTAATCGAATAAAACACTTTCTGACGTTTTCTGGGCTTCCAGAGACTTAAAAGATAGATAGTTTTGGACTATCCAATATAATTTTATTATTTATTTATTTAAACACATAAATATTGGTACAAAAAGCACCAGATACATATGCGCCACACAAATCTCATTAGATTTGTGTGAGGGCTGTGATACTGCTCAGGTGCCCAAACTGAAGCAGGTGGTTTTCTTAAGGGGCCACACCCCGAGCCTTTGACCTAAAGGTCTGATCTACAAGGCAGTGGAGCATCGTGAGGAGATGCAGTCACATGGTAGCCGGTGACCAACGATTGGTTCATACGCCATTTTCTCCCTCAGGATACTGGAGCCCATGTGCACCATTGGTTTGGAATGAGGGTTTTCCAACTCCCCTAGGTGGACTCGCAGTGTCCACCAACCCGGCTAAGCCGGCGCCGGACATTCGCTTTTCGTCCTCTCACTTTCGTAAACAACACCCCCGCCACGAGAAGGCCACGAGTAGGACTTCCCTGGCAGAGGCTATATTCGCATGACTATGTGAGAGCATTTGGTGAGGGAGAGCGGACTCTTCCCACTCTCGGCCGTACCAGGGCATTTGGAGGCATCCAATATAAACCAATATGCAATTGATGTGACTAAGGGAAGAAATGTAACACCGTCTATCCAACTTTGAGAACTAATGATAATTCGTTAGCTTCCTAAATTGAAATAAGCAAAGTGATGCTCGAACCGACAACCCAACAGTTAGGATGAGAGCACGAATCGCTACTTAATTGCTTCACAACTTGACACAGCACACTACTACTTTCATTATAATAAAATAATAATAAACGTGTTGAAAAACACTAAACATTCAAACAGAAATACAGTTATAAATCATACCTTAATGAGTGTATCAAGCCGTTGAACATTATTTTGTAGATTACGTAATCGAAATAAAATATTTAGTGTTTGTTTTAATCTTAATTGTCTACGATGATTACGTAAAACAATTAGTCGTGATAAGACCAATGTTTTGTCGGCTTGTTTTAATGAGCTAACATAAAATGAAATGGGAAAGAATATCAGAATTAAAGATAAAACAAAAAAACAAAAGTGTCTAAACAGTTCGTGATATATTTTATTACTTAATTGAAAGTATTTAATAACAAAACAGGTTTTTCCGTTTCCCTGGCTAATTTCTGCTTCATTTAGATAGAAATAACTATGTATTGGCCTGCAACACTTGTATATTAAACAAACGATTGAGCCAGTCGAATAAACAGTATTATTGTGAGCTCGATAGCGAAAGTTAGCAGTGCATAACACTTCAACAATTTCATTAAAATTGTGAACCGATCTAAGTTAGAGCACCATTGAAAGTCTGAAAGCACTCGATGGGCGTCTCTTCCTAGTATGAGATAACTTGGTGGCGCACACGTATGAACCTGAAAGCTGGAATCGAACAGAGGGTCTTTGGTCTTGCTCACAAACACTTAACCTCTAAACCACTAAGCCTATATCCAGCAGTGTTATTATCTAATTGCAATCAATCCATGACATTATACTTCAACAATTAGCCTCACTAACATGGGAAGAAAATAAAATGTAGGAAGAACTTTATATTCTAGCAAAAAATACCTGAAATGATACAACTCAGCATGTATGGTATTGAAGGCATAACTTTGAAGCACACGGAAAAACAGTTACCTAAAAGTAGTGAGACAACTAATCGGTAAAATCCAGAGGTTAAGAGAAAGAGCACTCGTGCTTATCGTTTTTAATAGTAAATTTTAACTTTATTAACAAAAATTGAGTAATCCCGTGATCATCTTATCACTATCATAGTTAATGACTAACCAGTCCTACGGATTAAATATCTTTATCAGTTATGAAAGAACTCATCAGTATTAATACTTAATATTTTATTGATTTCATCTCAACACAGGCCTAATTAACTATAATTGTTCTGAAATCATTAGTCTACAAAATTAGGGATATGCATGAATCCATATCACACTGTTATTAAGGACGTACATTTATGGCGAAAACTTCAGCTAAAGTACTGAAGCCAATTGATATTCGACTAATTGAGTTAAGTGGTATGACAGTTCTTGTGCTCACTAATGACTGACTTCAAGATGCAACTCCTGAAGTTCTAATTATAAACCATGCATAATCGGATTCAATTATTTCGAGTATGAGACAGTTATCCACTACATGGAATGGATGAGAACTGGGTAATATTGTGAATTGATTGAAATTAAACACCAAAATCGTCAGATGCCAACTAAGTGGTCATAAAGTTAGGCATTCACAAGTGAGACCGAAGGTCTGAGTTTGAATCCCGGATACGCGGTTGCTGATGCGCACCAGTGAAGAGTTCCATACTGAAACGAAACGCCCGTCAAGTTATTCTAGATTTTCAATGGTACTTTAACTAACATCAGTTCGTGACTTGAACGATGGAAGTTGTTTTTTGATACGGAGTATAAAGCTTGGGAATATGCTACAGTTAACTTTGATGTTATCGTTCAAGCAACAAAGTTTTCAGCGTTGACTAAATTTAATCAGAAAAGGTTTTTTTATGGATATTTCAATATTTTCATAGTTGAAATCATGAGTCAATTAAAGCTAGACCACCATGGAAAACCTGAAAGCACTGAACGGCTCAGTGGTCTGTCGGTTAAGTGTTCCGGCGCGAAGCTGGTAGGCCCTAGGTTCGAATCTCACGGGTGCGGGATCGTGGATGCGCACTGCTGAGGAATACCATAATAAGACGAGACGGCCGTCCAATGCTTCCAGGTTTTTCATGGTGGTCTAGCTTCAATTGACTCATGATTTCAACTATAAATTCAATCAGTTAATTCTGAGAAGTAGACATTAAATTATAGTGGTTGTGAGTTAAATACAACACTAAATGGTTGGAGGCAATCGGATGATGATAGGACAAAGTCAAATGGGTTACTATTTAAGTTATTCATTAATAGGATGTAAACCTATTTCAAGAACTTCGTTGAACGAAACTTATTTTTCAAAAACTGGGGAACGGATTGTGGTAAGATATACTACTACTATGTAATTATGAACTCCCTTATTGAAATGACTTAGTGAACAGTTGATTTATGAATTTTTAGAAGGTAGAAGTAGCCAAACTGAAAATATGATGTCAGTGAATGTAGCCATTGACTGTTGGACTAAATCACGTTGGTATATGTGTACTTCAACAGTGAGATCCAGAACAAAACCATAATCTGTAGTTGGAGACGATAGATCACATTATCATCAATCCGCAGCACCAGTACAGTTGAACTCATATTGTTTATCGTCCTTTAAGTCTGGAGCTTAATATTAAGTTAGACCGGTCGTTCTTTGATGTTATTCATTTCTCTGGAATGAGAGTTCATATGTTTAAATTCCCATTAATGTAGACAGTAGTACATCACTTCCTCTAGACAATTTGTTTTATCACTATGTTGGTGTAAAGTGTAGTAACACTTTGGATGGACACATATTTGTAACAGTTTCTAGTACTTCGTCTATAAGTGACTTTATGTATCATTTATATTCAATCAGCTGACAACATGTTAAGAAACGAATCACAAACAAATCTGATTTCTGAAGTACTAATACATATTCTTTGTTAAAAAAAGAAGACATTTACTTTCTAATTTCTCGACACATGCACAATGTTTCCCAATTATCTGATTGTAATGATAAAACACCTTTTAATTCTGCTTCATATTGTGGATGCTTTTCTAGAACCAATTCAGAAACACGTCTAGATACAGCTTTATTTTGACGATCCAATGCCAAAAGACGTAATTTTAATTTGGATAATTCACGACAATTTGGTCCAGCAATATTCTGTGAAATGAAAAGATTTTGGTGTAAAGACAGAAAAATTGGCTAAAAATAAGTGAGGCTCTGTTCGACTGCATTTAAATACGTTACTGTGTATAATGAATATCTGGACCTATTTCTTCAGAGAATTATATTTTTAGTGTATAGTTATTAAATAACTGGGCTATTATATTTCTATATTCCTCTTATTATAAGCTTTTGTAGAACCTATTAATTGTTGTTATATTTTTGTATTATTCCTTAATTATATATTAAAAATTAACTATTCATATTTAGCTTCATTCTCTTTCACACATAACTTGATTGTGAGTAAGGTGTGATTCTTAGTTTGGAGTATGTTAAGATCACAGTTATATAATATACCCTTATGGGCCAGGGTATTCTTGCACTGGTTTTCAGGAGAACCAGACACCATCCAGACTTTCACACGGTAACCCAAACAGTTAGGATCAGATAATTTATGAATAAAAACCTATGAATGTTTGCTATTTTCTCTTAATCGAACTCTATGCTAAGAATAGAAGAAACAGATATTCTGGAATCATACGAATGAAGATTATTCCAGTCTTAACTCAAGTTGAATAGTGTCAGTCAGAGTGAATAATCGGTCATAACGTATGACTTTAGTCTATAAACGAAAACTGTATGTTCAAGATAAAGGATTATAAATCAGAAAACTGAACAGTGAATCACTCTTGATTGATGTTGATTAACTCTTTAATTCATAACAGTTTTGAATGCTTAGTGTTGTATACTCAATAGTTGACTCTAAACATTACTTTAGAAGGATAAGATCAATCTTAATAATTATTCGTTATTATTCTACTGTTAACGATGTAAAAATTCGGATACTGAGCTTCAAATCTTACTTTAATTATTAGGGCTGATGACACTACCACCAGATTACCCTTGAGGAAGTAGGTGAAGTCGGGTTCAATCCTGTGGTTTAGTATCTGAAAGTAGAAAACGCCTTAACCACTGAGCTACCGCTCCTCAGTCTTTTATAAAAAAATAGAGATGTCAAGAATTAACCAATACTTTTTATATATAGTTGCACTTATTACTTATTCATTGTCATGAATTTTGTAGGTATGATGGTGAAGAACAATGAATGGAAAATGAAAGTTGAAGTGTAACTATAACCAGGATGTGAGAGAGAAATAAGCGCATCTTTGACAAAAACAAAAAGCAGTATATCCAAATTTGCATATGACAAGTTAATAAAAAAAACGTAGAAATAAAGATTTGTTTTGAATGAGCTCAATATCTTGAATATAAACATTCTGCCTTGGACGGTGTATGATGTTTTGACCAACATTATAACTATTAATATTACTAGTCTTTCAAACCTTGAATAAGTAAACTGTTATGACCTTAGTTTATACGATTACCGCGAATAAGATTGTCAAATTTAGATACGCGGACTTATACGACCGACAAATGACGCATGCACCTGAACAAACAGCCTGGTGTCTCGATTGGTCTTTTTCCCGCTAGCTTTGCTTATTAAGTTTAAAACACAAATCTCAGCCTCCGCTACATGAATCATATATTTCAAACATACTTGGGTTATATACGAGCCCAAAAGACCACATCACACCAGAAATAGAAAATAATATCTGTGCAAGATCAAGCCAAAAAGTGGCTGTGATTGTGATGTACTGTAATTAATTAACTGGGCATAACTTAAGGATTGGAAATAACATTGTCGGCATACATACATATGTGTTATTCCAATTTAAACAAGGGGACCCAATAGCAATTCAAGGGATAATTATTAATGGTACTGAACAAATTTTCAAAAGCTAACTAGCACATTATTAGACCAAATGATTTATTCAGTTAAATGATTGATTTCTAGAGATTACATATGGAGCTTAGACTTCAGCGAAACATTCGTAACATATGATGTTCGGTTATTTTAAACGCTAACGAAGTACAAACGACAGTTACTATCATACTTTTATTAAAGAAAGATAATTTCGGATTAAAAGTAACCTAGACTTTATAAAAACAATAGGGATTACAAAACCACTTGCATGATCGATTCGATAAATGATAACGACCAGCTATAGTTGGTTCTTTTTTACTTCACTTTAAATAGTGGCGGGGATTCAACAATTAAAACAACAAGCTTTCAATTACTGAATTACAAATTCAAACTTCCCTTGTCTATTTCAGTTCAAGCAACCACTAAGTATCACTGATTTTCTCTCCTACTGACTTGATGGATGGATTCTTAACTCATTAAAGAGTGGTTGACCTATAAAATCGATTTCATTTTGTTGCTTATATCATGTGGTCATGTTATTAATTAGACAAAAAAACACTTATACTTCTAGCTGGTGATCTTGTATCTTTAATATTAATTCAACTGAGTTCTTACGTCAATTATTTGGTCTGCTGATCAGCTATGACTTGACCATATCGTATTATTGCATCACATATATTAATTGGGATTCTACTGACTCATTATAACAACTAAAAACCTCATTCACTTATCAAATTTTTATATCATTAACAATTGGAGATGAGATTAATCTACAAGTCTCAGTTCCGTTAATATCTAGTTTAAAATCTCTTTTGACCCAGTTTATGACACTGTTTTACAAACAAAGTGTGACCTAAAACTGATTGGATTAAGCCTATACTAGAAAACTAAATAATACATTGGAGGGTTTCATTAACTGATGAAAACCTAACCTAAATCAAACTTCAAATTCATGCATATCGTGAACTGAATCGATTTCAGTGTCTTGTTTTACAAGGGGGACTGTATTTACACGTAGATCAATGCTAGTGAACCGGTTACTGGGAAAAACCGAACAGTGTAAACAGTATTGCTCAAAATGTGCTCAACGTAAAGCTCCATGTGAAATAGTAATTGATAATAAATAAATAACCGTTATTATTATTATTATTATTATTATTATTATTATTAATTCCGTTTACAACTGTTAGTAGTATTGGTCCAATTATCAGTGACCTGAAGTTGGTAAATATCTAAGTAAATGAGAATTTAGGTTTTTTAAATCCTGTGGTGTGAAACTGAAATATTTTTTGTGGGATAAAAATATACAATTCAAGTATACTGTTAAGAAAACCCAACCCCGTAAAGTAGAATAACACAGAGGATATTCACCATTCATTAAGATTTAAAACAAGAATTTAAAAACAATTGTTAATATAAGGAGTCTGAAGAGATCATTGAATTTTATAGTTAACATAAAGAACCAGCTTTAGCTAGATAACCAATGAAAACCAGGAAGTATTGGATAGATGTTTAGTTCTGATAGGGAACTCATTGGTATGTCCATCCACATCTGTGATAAGAAAAGGTTCAGTTATGTTAAGTATGAAGCAGTTACCTATCTATGTAATTTGAAGATGGTTGTACAATATCATAAGCTGACTGAAGTTAGAAATATAAAAAAATTGAACTGTAACTCAGTGGCCTGAAGCTTAAGTGCTCGCCGAGAGAGACCAGAAGAATGTATCAGATTCAATCCCTGGTAATATAACCGATGTTGACAGCTAAGGAGTCTCAAATTAGAACGAATCAACCGTCTATTGCTTCAGTATTTTCAATAGTTATCCAATTAATGTCAATTCATGATACCAACTAAAACATTATTCGAAAAATATTTGCCCACGGAATCAGCGTCCGTTTAACTAGTTTGGTTTAGTAGACATTTAGTAAAGAAAAAATTCGAAATTTTGTAAGAGAGAGTGAGACAAAATACAGTATCAAATTTAGTAAGTGTTTAGCATATTTTAATGTCTGTAGAAAGTTACTTTAGAAAAATGATTATATCTGTTACATGCTGTTAAGATTCATATGATGAATCAACTGTATGATCCTCGAAAAATCTGAAGACTTTTAAATAAGCACAAGTAATGTAACTCAGTTGACAAATAAAGCTTCATACACTTGATATTTAGCCGCGCTATCTGTGTGAGAACTAGTAGTGTTGTAGCCACCATACTGCTTAACCTAAAGTAAACTGAAGAGGATTCGAAAACACTATCCAATAGTCAAAAATTTAACACTTTAACCATCAAAACGCTGCTCGGGTCTATGATTAGGAGAACCGACCAGTTTATATTGCTGTTTAATTAATAAATGACGTAAACTAAGTTGTTTGTTTTAGTCGACCAGTACAACTTACTTCAATTTCATATTTTCCAGAGTCAAATGTCATTGAATAATAAACATCTTCAACATTATTGATCAACTCTTGCATAACATGTGGATCTCGAGTTGGATTCGGTGAATCGATAGACCTCTGTAAAAAGAAATTGATTTAAAAAATACTAAAAGAAAAATAAAAGAAACCTAGTAAAAAAACTGTATGGTCGTAGGTTTCGCATTAATGGGGAGTTAGAGAGTAGGGTAAGATAGCTCATTGTTTGTACCATTTTCTCCCCTTGGAGATCGCACAGATGCACTCACTTTTTATTCTTCTCGGATTTCCTTTTATACTTTCTTTTTTCATTTTGATGTTTCGTACCATATTCTTGATGCTCAGTCTTTCTCATACTACGCCCTGGTAATTAGCTCAGTGATACAGTTTATAAAATCGCTAGTTGAAATCATTGCTCGTTAGGTCAGTTAAGCCAGGACTGAAGGTTTTAACAATACATAATACTCTATATCACGAAAATCGATTCAATTTTAAAATATTAACCATTGGATTCCAACTCAGTATTTTTCAAAGTATCGCAGCATGAGTGACAAAATGCCAATAAATCTACAGGATTTGATCCGATGTAATGTCATGGGTGAACACAGGTAAGGTATCTCAAGATAGTGTTGGATATCTCATTACTGATTCACCAGCCGGTGTCAATTCTCGGTAAAGTTTACTTTTGAAAATGATATTTATTTGGAATCAGGTTGGAGGCTCTGCGATTCTATCCATTTATATCAGTCATTCATACGCAACGTTACCATACTAGATTAACACAGTGAGATAAAATTATTTTAAGACGGATCCTAAAGTAGAAGGAATAATTGTAGTATGACTAATAATGGACAGGCGAATCGGCTTGGCCAGAAGCTAGAATAAAGTATATGGGCTTAACATATAAACCGGTACTACATAATGACAGCATCAAAAGCAGTAAAGATTAATTCTGGGGTAAAAAGATAAGAGATTATTTTGGGACTCAGGTTCTAGAGGAAGAAAAAGAGTGAAAGTACGTACGCCATTGAGAACGATTTTGAGCCATTTCACATAAAACATGTTCAAAACAGCTTAGTTGATAAAGATTCACTACCTCATCAATCCGGTTTTACCTTAGTCTTCTTCTAACATTTAGAAATGTTCAAGAACAGTAAGTAAGTTTACACAGAAGAATAGCTGATTTAAAAAGCCATAGAGATGTATGGTACTCTAATAATAAGAGTATGATTGTTTACATTTTTTATGTCCTATGACCCGCCAAATATCACGTGATAAAACCGCCAGTCAGAATACTGACTCCTATGACCTTGTACTTGTGCTAAACCAATTACACATCAATTACCACTAACAGTCTTGAGTCAACTCTGAGTCCTTAGTGGTCCTTTGTATAGTAACTTCCCACCTAGCCGAGACTGTTCAGTACAGAACACAAATATCACCCTCCTCTATATGAGTCGTTTACTTCAGACATATGTGGTTTACACGCAAACAGACCACACTACGTCACACCATAAAGTGAAAAACAATGATTATGCAAGATCAATTCAAAAGTGAGGAGTACTGTAACTGATAAATTGGGAACTAGTTAAGAATGATAAATCGCATAACAGTAGCTAATAAGTCAAATAAAAGCCTATGATAGAAGGAATATATATATATATATATATATATATATATATATATATATATAATATGTAAGTAATAATACTCCTTAAGTAATTTCTAGCAGTTATCAATCATTTATTATTCGATCGAATGTAACAACTAGACTAATTAAGTGGAAATAATGAATAAAATTACTGAAAAGGGATGTTGCACCACTGCTATTATGTTCCTTCTCCGTTCTATATATCATTGCTACATATTCCTGATTTTCTGACCGTGTATGCATGTATCAAGTTACAGGCAACCAGATAGTCTGAACAACATTCATAAGATGATATTTATCGGATCAAACTATTTATCTACCCTACAATTTCCTTAATCACAAAACAACCCAACGAACTTGACCAAATTCATCACTAATAACTCATTGGGAACTAGCTAATCATAGGATTATATAATCCCCTCACCTGAAAAAGCAACATGAGTTCAATCAATCAAGCTTGTAATTACATATTAAATAGGAATTCGAAAATATTGAAAATTCCCGTTGTATAAGCAAAGAAAATCGCTCTCAACTAGATCTTCATTGGACTTTAGTAAACAGTAATATTTTTATATCTATATTAAAAAATATCGAACCGATCGGAGTAGTTGGTGGGTTATACTCCTATTTATATGAACTTTTAGCTGATCATGATTAGTTATGTAATCTATTTCGCTGTTATTATTAACTCAAAAACTACTTCAAACAATCATTACTAATCATACAGCTGTCCTGATTTGCAACGCTTTCAACGTTGAACACGCCAGTTGCATCAAACTGTTGCGACTATTTAATCGTACATTTAGTGGGTAAGTGATTAATTACCAGAGTGTGATTTTCATCACGAATCTCAAATCAAACCCTAAACCTCACTATATTGATGTTTTTATCCAGTAGACAGCTGTAAACAACTATAGATTCTTGAGATGAAATCTCCAGTGAAAATTATACATAAATATGCAACACTCAACTAATAAGTTAACAAAAAATGGCCCTAAATGCTAGACACTATACACTTGTTGAACATAGGAAACGTTGTAGATAACTTCACCTTATCCGTAAAAAATGTGTTTATATTTAAGAAATTCTTAAGGAAAAAAAGGTGGAATGAACTACCCACAAATAATTTTAAAAACTGATAAATAACATACATCACTTGTTTGTTTACTTAAAGTAGGAGGTTGAAATGATGAAACCGACTTCTCAACTTCTTCAATACCATTCGGTATTTTCGAACGCTAAAATGGTTGAAGAAAAGAAAAAACAACGAATATAGAATAAACACTCAGAACACTAAAAGCAGAAAATTTAAGTTTCAGATTTTAAAAAAAAATATGTACGCTAATAAAGGTATAGTATGAAGATTTAGGTTATTTGCTCGGTTTTTGAAATATGAGTGGTAAAAATTAACCAGCGAATTACGGAATATTTTTACTTTACAGTTCTAATTCAGGACGCCTTGAATGATTTGAGCAATCTCGATAGATATTGTTTTTGCTTGCTTTCTTGTAACTAGAGTAGATTAACCATTGTTTTCTGCAGAATAAATTAATTGTGGCTAGCAGTGTAATCTATGACAGAGGTTTCTACCCATTTAGAACTTATTATTTGGATGTACCTGGATCCCAGTTATGATTTTATTAGACCTTGTAATAAAGTTGATTCTCGTCAGAAAGTTAGCCACACCAGAGGAAACCATAGAAAAATTAGAAAGCAATGGACAACAAGTTATGTTTTTAAAAATTCCCTCCAGTGGATGTCAATTTGTAATGTAGGTCAATTTCGATCAATCTTCATGAGTCCTAAACCAAATTTTGCTTACATCGAATAAAATTCGTCAATTTTATCTAATGATACACAATATCCAAAAGAATTCAAGTTTCTCGGTTGAAGATCAACTCTATAGATACCTTCAAAAAGATATATAGAAATATACACCCAGCAAGAATTTTTGTAACTGTCAAACATCATTTTGTTCAAAGATCGCAAACTATACAATTACTAACCACATTTATATCATCCTAATTTGTTTAAAAAATTGTTACAAATTCTTATTGAATTTACATAATTGACAGAATATAATCGAAATTGTTTTTTCTCTTTTTAACAATTATTTATTTTCACAGTTGAAATCACGAGTCAATCTAAGCTATGCCATAAACGACAGCTCGGAAGCATTGAACGGCCATATCGTCTTAGTATGGGATTCCTCAGTATCGCACATCCACGATCCTGCACGCAGGATTTAAACCTAAGGCATTCGGTCTCGCGTGCGGATATTTAACCTCTAAACTACTTAGTCGACATCCATCGGTGTTAATGTTCGATTTCAATCGGTCCATGATCTTGTGAAACCTTACATTCACTGTCTGAGGTAGATGAATGTCTCACTCCGGACATGGACTGTGCACAAATGGTCACGGCTTCGCACTAAAACTCCAGGAAATCCATCTTGAAGCTATTCGCTAGTGAGCACATGAATATTGTCAATAAGGGGTTCGTGGAGATTGTAGTATTTCATAGTTGAATCCACGAGTCGATCTAAGCTAAGTCTCATAATAAGACGAATCAGCCATGTAATGCTTTAAGGTCTTCAATTTTAGTCTAGCTTAGATCGACGCATGAATTCAACTGTGAAAATACTACAACCTCCACAAATCCCCATACTGATAGTTACTTATTTGTTTAAAAACGTAACAAGTTGAATATCTTAAGTAGCTATCACTTAACCAGATAGTGTTGTTTCAAACTATCGATTAATCAAGCACTGACCAATCATTTAAACAGTTGAAACTGGTGACAAGAAAGGAGTTTAAAAAAGGCATATGTTTTGGAATATTCAGACTCAAAACCTAAATAGTATTAAATGAATGCATTAGCGTCATTGTAACCAATTCTATGCCATGTTACTCGACGTCTCCTACCAATGATTGAGGTTATTTCACAGGCCCATACCTTCCTTCTAACCTACCTCTATCCCAGCTAGGAATACATTTTGAGGTAGGTGGCGGTTAGACACACGTAACCCACGTGACATTTACATTAGCTAGAGCGATATCACACACTTATTAATAGTTTTCCATCCTTATTTTTTGCCCTGTGTTTAACTTCAGTACTGTTCAATCAACTGTTCAGTACTGTTGTTCCAAGGTACACGAGTAATGCGTTCGCAACACCTACAGCCAAAAACTTCCAACCTACTCAGCTCTTACACTTTTATAGGTCCTTCTCATAGTTATAGAATAGTGCAGAGTAGATTGCTGTACAGTATACTCACACTGGTTGAAAGATGGATATTGAGCCTATGCCATTAATTAGGCAAGTCGATGAATGCCAATAGAGCTATCTGAATTCATTCTGAGACTTACTCAGAAACCAACCTGCCAGGATTTATGAAATTTTCAAACTAAATAAAGTGTTTGAAAATCCCCATAATATTAAAATACTAATATCTGTACGAAGAATATTCTTCTCAATAAATTCTCCCTAGGTTCTATAATTATGTTTATAAGTGGTCGGCTTCCTATACTATTAACTACTTCACTACCCATACAAAATCTACGTCTTAACACAAATTTGTTCGCAAGTAAAACTAAGCACTTAACGGCGAAAAAAACACCTTGTTACTATTTCTACCACTATGGGATTTGAATCGACAACTGCATCTCTGTGCTAATGTGGTATGACAACTCCAACTGACGTACGTACATACGAAGTTCTACGTTGTGACTGACTGACTGACCTTGTATTGTTATTCAGAGGCGTTCAGAAGGTGCTGAAATTTCTCAGTAACCTCAACAAATAGTGACGAAACTACTAAATCCCGACACAAATAAACTCCAAATTAGTGGGAATAAACATTTCAAAAAAGGGATGAATCCGTCAATCAAAGAAGTTAAATCTTTCCTCCAAAATTAATAATTTTAAGGTAAGGTCTATATGTAGTTTTCAAAATGTGAGAGCCCTATTGATTGGTTTTTTCAGCTAGGTTTGGGCAGGTTTATTAATAGATTATTAATTAAACTTGTTTTGAGGCAATTAATTGTCCGTTATCTTGTATATTAACAAAATAGAAATTTTCTGTGATAAAGATCAGAAATCTATTAACAAAATCACTGATACAAAAATCAATTATTTTACCTGCCACAAGCATTGAAAATTAGACATAGTATATTGGTACTTGAATCATGAAGGTATAAGAAATATACTTGCTTCTTGTACCCAATAAACTAACTTTTGGCGACGAATATTTATAGAATATTAAATGAAATGAAGTGAATTACTTCCATAATATTTGCTTTACACAAGATGGAAAATTATCCACATTACAAAAAAACCTACTATGTGCCATGTGAACAGTTTGGGGATGAACATTTTAAGCAATATTCGTGCTAACTATTAATCGCATCTATATACCTTACCACTGAATGCTTCTGTCGCTGAAGTAGATCATTTGAAATGATGTCGGATTAAACAAACAAACCAAATGAAAAATTATACTAGCGAGCTGGCAAAATATCTGAAAGTATTGATTTTGCAAGAATATGAGGCATAAAATGTTAGCGACTTTTGAAGAGGGCATGATTGAGTTTCTATGATCAGTTTTCAACCCGAGCACCAAAGATACTTTATCGTCTAATCCAAGATAGGACTCATACCAACAAAAATTACGGCATGACCTTAAGCTAATGAACCTGTTCTTTTTTTCCTACTTCATTCTTAGACTATTTCATATCTTATGGTAATTGATGTCTAAAGTTGAGCAGCGTGTTTCAAATAATATATTTTGCAGAATAAAAATCTCATTAACTAACATATTCACTCTAAACTTTTAGATTAACTTTAAAATTTTTTTCTGATTGACAGGATGAAGCACACATACATTAAACAAGACTACATACTCTTAATAATAAGTCATTTCGAACTGTATTAACTATAGATGGGAGAACACAATCAATCTGCTTCTCCAAAGCAACAAATACATTCCGTTAAAAATGAACTACAAATTAAATATAGTTGTTTAGTTTATACCTTACAATTTTGATTATTTTATAAAATCAAGGAAATGCTTAGTATCAGTTCGAAATCGTAACTGGTGAAAGCTTGACCCCTTTTACAAGGATGAGTACTGTATCATACTATCCGTTTATGAGTGTATTGGATGGTTAATGAACCATGTTTGTTCTACCTGGGACAATGCCCTCAAATGCCCTGATACGGCCGAGGTTGAGGAAAGTCAGCTCTCTCTCAAATGCTCTCACATGGCCATGCGAATATATAGCCTCTGCCAGGGAAGTCCTACTCACTGTCTTCTCGTGGCTGGGATGTTGCTTACGAAAGTGAAAGGACGAAAAGCGAATATCCGGCGCATTAACCAAGTTGGTGGATACGGATTGTCCACCTAGGGGAGTTGTAATATCCTGATTCCAAACCAGTGGTGCACATGAGCTCCAGGATCCTGAGGGAATAAATGAAGCAATCGTTGGTCACCGACCACCATGAAACTGCATCTCCTGAAGTTGCTCCACTGCCTTGTAGATCAGGCCTTTAAGTCTGGAGCTCCAGGTGTGGCCCTCCAAGAAAACCACGTGCCTCGGTATGGGCGCCTGGGGAGTATCAAAGCCCTCACACAAATCAAGTGAATTGTGTAGCGCATATGTATTCGATGCCCTTTAGTACCAATATTTGTATTCAAATAAATAAATACTACCTAGGAAAATTGATAATGTCTTGCTCTGTGGACATTGGTTAGTTTAATAAATCTATAACCAAAGGGTTAAGAAATTAGCAATCAGATTACTGACCAAGAAAACCGAGAACAAGATACTACTACAACACACTGAGCTTTGTAATAGGTGGGAAAACACTTAACTCTAGCGATCAGCTGAATACATAGAACAGGACAGCTGCATACCACCTTAAAAACTGAAATCTCATTCCTAAAATTTGTCTTACTAAGTATTTGGAAGGGTAGAGAGAATTCACTTTAAATTTCAAGGTAAATGTGAAGAGCATTGACACTAAGGACTGTTCAGTGGCCCGATATTCGACTCCAGTTAAACTGTAAGCTGTCGTCAGTCCTCGTATATAATCAGTGACTTAAATCGCCTTAGTGAATAACGGAATTAAATAAGTCGGATACGATAATGGATTTTGAATAGGTATCTTTTGTACAACCGTTGATCGAGGTGAACGATCAAAGGAACGAAGCAAAGAAGGCGAAGAAAAGAGAGAGAGGCAAAAGGACGCGCGATGGAAAAGGCGTGTGAGCCAACTCGATTTAGTCAAGCGTCAACCAATATTTATAGTCGGATATAAATAAGTTACAGATATGTGATGAGTAGGATAGGAAATAAACACATATAAGCTTACATAAAAACAGTCAAGGTTGATAAGCAAATAGTTATTAAGGTCAAAGTGTAGCTTGAGAATGAATAAATCGGTTTGTTCAAAAGCTAGAATAAGCTGTATGGGCCCAGCGTAGGACCAGCCACTACGACCGACTAAAGTGTAAATAAGCTGTAATTATAAATTCACCAGTCATGATATTTTTGTCTCACAAATATAGAGACCTCTAGTGTCAAATAACCTTAACTGACAGAACCGCAAAGTTATTACCATCCATTCACTGACTTAAATTAGATACTACACATTTAATACTACGAGAATAAGCCTTTAAGGACCATGTTATTAAACATGACTTCTGTAGAAACGCTCGAACTAACATGGGAGTTGAAAAATTGAGACAACCAAAGAATATTTTGATTGAGGAATAAATAACAGGAAAACCAAACTTTAAGTTCATGCGCAATTTTGTACGTTCAGTAAGCCTCGATCTCCAAGAGGAGACGGATAACATATTTAAGTCTAGAACAATGTGTTGGAAAGTGGATATATTTTTGAAAGTCGTGTCTGTTTTATCTAAACGAAATTTACCCTAGGCTCATAACAGTAATGTGTAACAAGACATATGAAACACGTATGACTAGCTCAAAAGTCATTAAGCGAAGTAGCTATTTTGCCTGTTTATAGCAGTCCTCTAAAACAGAACTGATAGCGTAATTAAGCTTGTATAGCTTTTTTACATTCACAACAACATGTTCTATTCGCATCCAATCAATGAGTGCGTTTTAGGCTGCACTAAAATTGAATACATTGTCACAACAACCTATACTCATCACATAAAGTAAATAACTGCAAACAAAAGAAGAGCAATCCCTGAGGCATCTCTATTAAATGTAACCGTTATTTTAGACTCACTTGAGAAACAAGACGCAATATCTTATCCATTTTATTTAGGGATACGGAAATGACCGCTGTCTTTTAGACACATACCACAAGGTCATTAACCACTCCATGAAGTAGAAAAACAAATCATTCAAATCTGATCGGACATGACTAGTTTACAACATACAAACTACAATAGTGAGCACCTTTTTAACTTAACTGTTGGTGAATGAAAATAAATGTAGATAAGAAACGTTGAACTGTTAACATTCACACGTAAATCTAGTTTCTAATATATCAAATATCCTTTTGACAGACTTGTAACAGTCAACTGAATCTTTCGAGATCTTCTCGTGTTGTTTCAGCTTGGTTCCAGGTACGTATAACTGTCTAATATGCGTTGATCTGGCTACTCAGCCGTACTAAATTTAGTCATGGTCGTCGTTATGTGTGGATTTGTACATCTTGAAATCTGAGTGAGTACGTTTGTTTCAGGTCAGAAGGGTTTCTGGAACCAGTAGCTGTCAAATTATCACGCAAGAGACTAGTATGTTTTAATATGAAAAGTAATAAAGAGTAAATCTGGATGTCGAGAGATGACGTTTGTCTCAATAGTTAACTAAATAAGTTTATTAGTTGCTAAAGCAGACAGCGCGAGAAAAGAGAAGTTTATGGATGAAAGGGATAGCGGAGTTTATAGCAAACAAGATAAAGGAAAAATAATGATGTGTGATAATAATAACATTAGGTTGGTTATGAGACATGAATCAAGCACAGCAATTCCAAGACAGAGATAGTAATTTATGGGTAAGTGTCTGTGTCATAATCGATGTCCCTATTATCAGTTACTGTGAACAAATAAACTGAGCGAGAATTGTATTACAAATGTTCTTTAATAAATATTTTCCTAATTAAGTTCCTTAGCATATGCAGTGGTAATAAACGAAGTATGATTGGATTTAACGGATACCACCGGTCTAAAGCAATAGTTGTATTCGATTGGCACCTTTGCCTCTTTGTAGTTTAATTGAATTTATATTGACGCTGGTGCCTAGAACTACCGGTGATTGTATTAGAATAGAAATAACACTGTCGTTAGAATATGCATCAATTGTATTATAATGAAGTAAATCCAAGACTGAATAAACCTGATTTAGTCTGCATTTTATTGAGCTGAATATGGACTGTCCAGAGCGTAAATCATCCAACGCGTCTCAAGTATTTATAGTTCACTATAATTGTAACAGATTATAATATTGAATAAAGCCATTAATAATAATAATAATAATGGAATATGACTTATAGATAGACAAACAAAACATGTAATATTAATAGTATTCACATATGAGTCATTTGGACTAATTATATAACTGAGGGCAAGTTAACCGATAGGACGGAACTAATGCACTTGGCAGTCACATGCTCATTTAGACATCGCAAGCCAAAATGAATAATTGATTATGTTCATTTAATGTGACTGCAGTGAATACCATACCTTGTGAAATCACCTCATGAAGTTATATGTTAAGATCGCAGTATTCACTTCGGCTAATAGAGTATCCAGAATGAAGGCAACTCCTATCGAGAAAAAATGTGAAAATATCTGCATTCCGTTTTCCTATATGCAGTTTTCCGACAGTTACCTCTTGAAGCGTAGTGATAATGTTCTGGTACGATGTCCATGCTCATGTAAACTATCAGTTGACTACTTTAGGATGAAAGCGATAACGAACTTTTACATACTGGAACCCACGTGTGATATATATACTGACTAAAAGCTCTCTAATTCTATGATAATTAGAAGTATTCAAATTATTTTATTGGACAGTAACCACACGAATTTTGAAGCCAAACATATAGTTACTGAAAAGATGTATATTCAACAGTTGACACGAAGAGAAGGTTAGCAATGGAGAACTCACGAACATTCAATTCATTTCAATCGTATTTTATGGCCCGTCCCTGCAGACAGGATCATTCTCCATAAGTAATCATTGCTCACAATAGGCATATTGTTCTATCTTTAGCCCTAATGTGTTCTCTGGAAGCTCCAGACATCATGTTGTTGATCGTTACGATACAATTAGTCACTGTAGATAATAATATGACTTCCGCGTAGGATCTTATAGATTGATCAGTCACGTCATTACAGATCTACAATTTTAGGATTAGGTCTATAATAATAATACCAATAACGAAGGAGACCATAATTCTACAAGTTTACAGTGTAAAGTATGTTAGTAGCTGGAATTTGTAATCAATACAAATAGGCAAAAAAACTTATTTAAGCTCTACTAATGCGATTAGATGACGGAAAAATTACGAATGATCATACTTCAGGAACAAAAACAACATAAAATCATTTGTTATTCACATCAAATGCTACTTGAATGAACTTTAAATACCACACGCCGCTCACCAACTCACATTTTCTATTTAGCAGAAACTACGCTTGTTCATATTATTGAAAATAGACTAAAGAGTAACGGACAGTGTACGTATAGTTCGCTTTCATTAGTTTTTATGGATGGTGCACATTATTTGTTAAGTTTAAGGGAGTGGAATATCACACATTGCTGATGTATCAATTTCACTTTCTCTTTAGAATGGAGAATTAGAAACGAGAAGAAAATAGATATGAAAAAATCTAGGAATGTAAGAAAGATTCATGGGACACACTATGGAAACAAAAAGAAAATAATTTCGTTGGCAAATTTATGATAATTAGGAGTATTTGAATTATTATTATTTGAATTATTGAGCTGAGTAGAACTAGATGTACACAAGTAAATGCATTTTATTTGGAATTTCTGATCAGCGATAAATTAGGTACAAAAGAATCAGTAGTTCCTACACATACCACAATGATATAGTTAACATGATTCGTCATTGAGAAGGTTCATTCAAAAACATGGTATACCACGTTGCGTCTTTTGTCGACGTTTACTGATGTTAGTTGCTCACTTACCTCAAATGTCACTTGTGTAGCATAGACCGCCGAATAGCGATCTTCAACTTACCCTATCTTGGACTTTGGGTACTAGTCGCTGTGTTGTATTTCAGTGTCTTGCTGATGCAGAAGCTTCTGCCACACCAGTTGTCTACATATGTGTTTGTTTTGTGTGGTATTGAATGTCATCTACAATGTCCAAAACATTCAGCTGCCTACAACCCTTTCATTGTAATCCGTGTTAACCACCAGAAGATAGCGGAAGGGGGAGAGCATAGAGTTTTGTCTGACTCTAGTCCTCACTTGAAATGCGTCTGTCAGTTGTCCTCCATGCAACATTTTGCACTGTAGTTCGTCATATGAATTCCGTACGATGTCGATGAATGTTCCATAAGGTCATCCTATCCATACGGTCAAATACTTTCTTACAATCAAAGTTGATGTACCGTGACGAATTCCACTAAATTGATTGTTCAATGATGATCCATAGTGTCGAGATTTGGTTGGTACACGATCGAATATTACGAAAACGAACCTGATGATCTTCGAATTTGGGGGTCTACTGAGTCTTTCATCCGATTCAACAACATTCTGTTGTAAACCTTTCCTGGTACCGATAGTCGTGTGATACTTGGTCAGATCTCCTTACTTTGACATCCTGATGAGATATCTTTATTTTCAGTTTATCGTCACTTGCAGTACAAGTAGAATTTTTATACTTTCAAAAATACAACATAGGATCAGGAGCCATTGTAACTAAATTAAATGAAATTTAACACTATCTTTCTCGCGTGAATTTATATATTTATATAAATATTTGCTTTTTGTGTTGACAAAGGCGAGTTTGTCATGCTAAGTTTAGTTATTGCAAAAGCGAAAAAACAGAGAATTTGTTACAGGTGTTTGTCAGTCGGTGTAAGGTGAAATTCTGGAGTTCGTAAATACTTATATAAGAGAAGCTATTTGCTTTTACAAATACGAAAGATGAGAACCGTCATAAAATTCATTTGAAATCGGTTAAGATATGTATGGAGAAGTGTAAATTGGCTAAGTCCGACAGTGCAGAATGTGATCCTGGTTGTTCTACCAGAGGTTCCTCATAGAGATTCAGGGAATAATACCTAAAAGAATTCCTATAAATAGGTAAATGGTGTTGAGATCTCATTTCTACCATATCATGTAAAGATTCTTTTTAGATGACTGAATCCTACATAACCTTTCTACATCTCAGGACGACTGTAGATTATTGAAACACAGAAATGCTAAAAGAAAAACACAAAAATTTTCCAATATATTATCATGAAAATGTTCGACCATCAGTAAATTTCACTGAGAAATACTATTCGGTATAAATCATATTCATATTCTTCAGCCTTTTACTAATAGTAACTGACAGTATTGGTATTGTGGTATTGTTTCACGTTGAGTTTAATTCACTGTTTTGATCGTAAATTACGTATCAAAACTACCGTTTACACTTTAATTGAATTTATTTCAGTTAACGTGACATTGTATTTGTGTGTTTTGATCCTGCTTTTGTGTATTTACTGCATCAAAGCATTCTTGGTCGACTGAGGCTTGTTTATTTGATAAGGTTGTGATTTATCTTACATATCTACCTTGCCTATCATTTTGCTTTATTCTAAGATGGTCGGCTCTGTACACAAGTGTGGACAGCCATATTGCTTATTCGCCGTGGAAGAAGGGATGCAATGTGACGATTGTAAGAAGTGGTTTCATAAAATGTGCACCCGCTTAAGCCCTGCTGCCTATAAAAGGTGCTCGAAACCAAATTCTCATTTGCTCTGTATGTTTTGTTGCTCAAGTAAGACATTACTCATTCAGGAAGCCATCAGCCTTCTAGCGTTAGCTAAAAAGGTCGAAGTAGGCCGTGCCGGCAACATGGATACTGATAATGAAGATTGTATCAGTGTCGTAAATGCTGCCATGGTAGATACCAGACACCCAATTTCGCAACATGAAGCAAAAATTTGTACTCCGATACAACCAATGAAAGCCATGCCATTAAGTACTGAGGGACCAGTCGCTTTAGCAGCGACTGAGGACTCGGCTAGAACCACTATCGTCCAGAATAGTTCCAATCTGGATGCTGAGAATAGTGGCAAATGGATTACGCGGAAACGCAAAATAGACGGAAAAATACCCAAAGAAAGCGCGCGTATAGTCGGTAAGTCA